TGTATATGTGATATATATGATAACAAGCATTGAGCATTATTGTCACTGCCCATGTACCGCTCGTGTGACATTGAGATTACTCTCTAGCCCTGTGTGAAAGTCTTTTTTTAAGATCATCACAATGGTGTTAAATTAGTTTGTGTTTGGTAAATCGTGAACCCACTTACATATGACTGGGTGCAAATTACAATGGTCGTGTTTTCCATTTGAGAATTCTTGAACCGAGAATTAGCCTTCTGGTTAAAGCAGGGCATGTTTTATGTGGGGCTTTACTATTTCTAGATTTGAAGCTTTCGTGACTGCATGGATTCATACTCTTAGTTCTTTCGGTAAAGTCACGTAGGTAAAAAATTCAATTAAAATTAATTTAAAAAATCACGACGTTTTGGAGGCAACACAAGTCTCCGTCATCAGGTGGGACCGTCACAGCCAGATTTGCTGCATCAAGTGAGGCAGGGAATCCCTGCCTCACTTGATGACGGAGACTTGTGTTGCCTCCGAAACGTCGTGATTTTATTATTTTATTTTTTATTAATTTTAATTTCATTTTTTACCTACGTGACTTTACTATGCATTGAAAAGAACGGAGACACTTATTTGGAAGTGGTAAAATTTTGTAGTGTTTGTGCAAAAAGTATTGTTGCGTGTGAACTTGTAGATGATTAAACATGTGCTGTCAAGAAATGGATAGATGTCCAAGTTATGTGATTGGAAGCAGCCGGTCCACATGGAATAACTCGACGCTCCACTGAGGAGCAACGCAGATACTCTTCTATCATTCGTGAAGGTGTTGTCCCAGCGGGGAACCCAGATATTATAGATTTTGCCGGTGTGGCTGGCCAACATAATCAATTGTCATTTGAAAAGAGTCAGAGACAGCAACATCCGTTCACACACAGGAATTGCTTCGACGTGATTGCTTTTGTGCTTGCGAGTTGATCTGTTGGGATTGCGAGCCAATTCTTGGTGAACAAGCGTTCGTTTATGAGCAGCAATCTCAGCAAGGAGACTGACAGTACAAGGCTAATGATTTGGCTGAGCAAGTACAGAGAAGTAATCCAGAATGGCAGGAGGTGTGAGTCGAGATGAGTAAAGCAAGCTAGTTTTGAAGAGGCAATGAGCAAGTACTGCTGTAAGAAGTGAACTACATAGCATGCATACAACAAGTAGAAATGGACGGGAAGCCATGATGTATCACGTTTTAAACATGATAGCAGGTTAGTTTGCTACATTTATGATGGCAAGGACGAAGGGCCAACGTTTACAAAGGATGGCAAGTGTGAGCGGACATTAAAAAAAAAAGTTTCATATAATTAAACAAGTAAAATTATATCCTCAAAAATGGATAAATTCTAATTTATTTAGACTATTAAACGTGAAGTTGGGCATCGAGCAATGCATGCAAAGCTTTTTTTGGTGTTTTAACAATACACAAGACTGTGTATGACTCATTCAAGTGAAGAACCCCACAATGAAAGTAACACTTTTCGAAGCTTCGGTTTAAAATTTATTCGTAACCACGACATGTCATTCAATAAATCCACTGGACAACCAGTAAAAGTTGACATTTTGTCAAAAATACTACTATGGCTCAAGACAGTAGCTACGTGGCATACTAGATTTTTTTTTCAGATAGATAAGAGCAGATAGACTATTGACCTGATCATACAATACAGTATTAGCAATAATAATGAGCCGTTTGTCATACATTTGGGGAGGGGCATTCAATAGATGTGTGATCACGACACAAACAAGGGATATCCACCTGCAAGAAATTTGCTCTTTGATTTTGGCCTCATTACATGAACACAAGAGGTCTCTTTCTTTTTCACTGGAAGGAATAAGACTGAGCACACATTCCTCTTTGTGCTGCCGGATAACATTTTACGTTTAAAACTTTAATTCACCGTTTAAATAAAAAATAAAAACACAGAGATAAAGGAATTCTCCACGTATTCATGTTATTGTTAATTTCTCCTCATGATCAAATGTTCAAACATTTTGAAAATAAATTTACCAACACGGTACAAAGCGTTGAGGAAAATTACACAGTATATACTGATACAACGATTTGATTTTTAAACAGTAAAGTAATTACCTCAATATGCAGTAGCAGTTATTAAAGAACCTGTAAAAAAAAAAGTACACTACGACATACACTTAGTGTTGAAGAACAGTAAAATGCCTCTTTTTTGTGCAGGAATACATTAACCACAACTGGGTTAAACTTCAAATGAGTTTCTTCCCACAAAACCAGAAAGTTTTCACGCCAATAAGTCATAAATTCTAAGGCGAACGAGTATTTTTTTCATATTCAAAAATATACATTTCCTAAGATTTCTTTCTTCCCAAAAACTCAATGGACAACACATTTAAAAACAGGGCAGAGCGTTTTCACCTTTTAGTCTATGATGAAAGCATAACAAATCAAGAAAAGTTAAGGAATACAAATAAACGCAAGGCATCGCCTTTTCAAAAGGAATCAACAAACCTCATAGGGGTGGGATATATTTAACGACATGGGTTTGTAACTGGCCTAATTAGGCAGGTTTAAATGATGTCTTACTTAAGCCACCTCGTGGCTTTCGGCAAGTTGTACGAGTTAAAGGCGCTGGGAGGTACATCGAAGCCTGAGCCAGAACAACAATGTGACGATTGGTGCCTCTAGGCAATTGCAGTATATCATGTCATTCAATATACCTGCCCTGTAAATTGCCTTTGGCTTCCTTAAAACGGCAAATGTCAATAACGATATAGATCCATTAACAATACTCTATGGGCAACAACATTTTCTCAATAAATTACAGATTTGCTAAAAAATAAGTATAAACAGGAATGCGGGTTTTTGCAGTGTTCAAAGGAATGCCTATCTAAACATTTTTTCTTTAGTTTGACGTACAATGGGCTACGGCATAGCAGTAAATACATCCTATGTACACAGCAAATCTGACATGTAAGCCACTTGTCAAAAGGCAGCCCATGTGCACCTCTAACCCGGCAGGCTCCCCTCTGCACGGCCAAACGCTCGTCCCTCCTGCAAAGTTATCCCTCGTTGTGTGAAATTGGGACCTTCCATTCAACTTCGCCATTTATCCGGAAAACAGTTGACCGCAACGTTCAACCTTGCATCTCTGTTAAGTACTCAAAGAGTGAGGGAACACATCCCCAAAGCAGTATAAAATGTCACAAAACCATGATACCGATATGAACGTGATTCTCGCCCATTTACATGGAGCAGAGATGAATACCACGTGACTCGCCAACAAGAGCATTGCTACGTTCATTCACGGAACCTTGAAGCATCTTCACAACATCCACAGGGATGTGGTGTTTCCTAACTTATACAGGACGGCGTGGCATGTCCACCTGTTACGTAACCACCCTGACCGGCAGATCGCTAACATGCCCACTGCAGTAGCTGCACACGGTGTAGCTGTCATTTTCTACAGATGTTCACATATCCCACTTTTTCGCATATCTGCCCAAAATTCGGATGTGCAATGCTGTGCTGCATTTTTATTTTACAATAGCACTTTACTGAGCTCTTATTTGCTTTCAAAAGATGGGAAATAATATCTCCCTATTACAGGTATGGCATCAGTTACCAATTTGTGGCTGTTGTATTGGGGTCTTGTGGGACAATGTTGTGACCATAATACCAATGTGTACAAAAATCTTGATCTTAAGATCATACTGAGGAGTCATATTTTACGTCCAACAAACATGATTTTAAAACCCATACTTGCAGCCACATGAGCTGTATAGCTAAATAAGTCATTACTTTCTGGTGTCTCAGTAAACCTCAATTATTCGCCAAAATACGTAATGGTGAAATGTGTGTCCATTATTGTTGCCTTGCCAATTTGTTCATGAGCAAAACAAGTAAGAGAATAATTAAAAAACACGTTATGTTAAAAACCGTTCCCCATTACCATGCCATATTTGTGTAGTCCCTTCACTCTTTTTTTACCGTATTGGTTTTTTTTCTGCTTCAATAAAAGGCCAATTGTACACCTCGTGTTAATTTGTTGTGCGTGAAGACAAGCCAAGTGTAACTCTCTGAAAAGAAAACATCTTGCGGTCCAAACTTTAGAAAACTTGTTTTGTGGACTTTTACAATAATTTCAATTTAGTTTTTGTTACAGCACAATAATAAAGTATTAAAACTAACATATTACACTCACAGATAGTGTTTTATTGCTGCTACAAATCTGTACTATGAAGGCAAAATGCTTGGTAAAATCTTCTGAATAAACCATTAATAATGTGCTGTAAAAATCCATTCTAAACCTAGCACTAAATTGTAAAAAATAAATGTAAAGGTGCAGCCCTGCAATGCCATGCTCGCGTCACTGCTGGAAGAATGACCTTTACTGGAGAGATCTCTAGAGTTACCCCTCGAGAGGATAATTGGTCTACTTGGAAGAGGTGGGAGTAACTACATTTTACCCCACCACTCGCTGCCCGCCAATCGACTGTGGTGTAGCCCCTCATTCTGCTGGGTTTTTGACAAGATGTATGGGGGATTTAAGAAACGTTCCGATTGTTTTCACATTTCCATTGTTTTAAAATTAAATCGAACAAGCAACCTCTGGATTACAAAGCCCAGTGCTACTATTACACCACAGCAGCTACCCCCCACCCCACCCCCAAATAACCATGTATTTATTTGCCACGTTTCTTATGTTCAATTAAAAAAAGAGAGACACTCCAGGAGTAGTGTGGAGCAGTTTCGATGGCTGCCTGGAAGGGCCGGGTTTTATGCCGGTATAGCCGACAGCTTCAGGAAGCATTATGCGCTGGGCTTTGGCAAGATGTAATAACACAACCCCTTTGGTGTACCTTTTGTGTTTTGGGTTTGAGTGGGTAATAGCGGCTGTCAAGACCTATTTTCAAAAATGTGCTCGCTAATAGTTCCCCCCCCCCCCGCCGCCTCAACACCCCCCCCCCCCCGCCACTTAAAAAATAACAATCCTACCAAAAATACAAAACGAAGGAAAATTACTTATTGCACTTTTAATATTTGACTTCTATAGTTGGCAGATAATGCTTCGTGTGTTGCTACTGAGAGGTGCCTCCATCAGGGTTAGAATACACATTACACAGATCACTAATTTGCGTTCGTCAATGGACAGCTTCAGTATGAACAGGGATTGCATTCTTAAACAGTGAGCTGTTTGACAGTATGCTGCATTTATACCAAGCATTTCGAACCACGTGTACAATAGTTTTGTTTTTTAAGGCAAGGCATGCCTAGATGCTTTCACTTCAGTGTTTTAAGCCAACCTAAAAGAAAGACCCCACAGTTTTGATGTAATGCAGTCTTGCCGTCACGTGATATTCACATTTCGGTTCTGTCAAACAATAATATACACTATTTTACACACCGTAAAGCACATTTTGTCTTCTTTAAAAAAAAACTACACGATATAGAAAATATATTAAACAAATATGTAAATACGACATGTGCGTCCAAACAATAATTTCTCAAACAAAATATGCACAAAACAAAGTGTTATTTCGGGAAAAATATCACTTGTCAAACATATACAGACACCCAAAGGGGTTAAAGAGGGGCATGAACGGAGGTGAGCGGTTAACGACCCAGAAAGAAAAAAAAAGAACCTTGTTCTTATCCAGAAATCAATGAAATATACAAACACAGGAGGCAGCTACGGAGATGATCAGGGGACAACATGAAACTGCAATGCAAAAGGCTTCCATGTCGAAGTCCCGGGCAGCTGGCACATGCACAGTCTACGCACGTGGTGGGCCGCTTTCTTCTGGCCGGAGAGGAAACTGAAAACCTCTCACCCCCCACGATTGCAAGGTGCCCCTGTGATTGTTTATGCAGCTTACTCCCACTGCCCCACACCATCACCTCTGCATCATCGGCCCAACCCCTCTGCCCTCGCTGAAGTAATAATTAAGTCACTCAGGAAAGCGTGGACATTGCTGGCAAGATTCCTTTTACAAAGCACCGCAAATGTACAAAATGTTGTTGATGAGGCCGTTATGCAAAACATGTCTTACTGCTTCAACGTTGCTTGAAGAGAGCTTTGTTTTGATTTCATTTTATTTAAAACCTTAAATCAATGGTGCTGGAGCAACAACTTACTGAGTGATGGATTTCCGGTACCTATCCGTGCACTTGACAAGATATTTTTTATTTATGTTTTCTGTACATGAAAACAAAAGTGCAAAGAATCTCAAATTTCCCAATTGAAAAATAAGCGATTGGAGGAAGGCTTACCCTTTATTCGACATTTCACGAGATGTATAATACTGGAGCTCATTAACCCAATTTAAGCAAGGCATATGAATCTAAATGTCATGTTCGATTGCATCTTCCAACAGAATAACACTCAAGACACTGACATTGATGGCTTAATTCAGCAACCTTTGGATTGGCTTACTGCCCAATAGATTGTCGAAGATTGTTGTCCGTCACTTATAAAATGTTTGCCGCGTATTGTCTCCTTCTAAAAAAACAACACCATACCTCGCATGAGTGCGGGAAATACCCACACATCCGACTGCTTTGTCACATTTTATGAGTACAGGTGATGAAACGTAATTCCTTGAATGGCAAAAAAGATGTTAGAGAATTTAAGCAAACATAGCGACATTTAAAATTCAGGGTGAAGGAACCTTCCGCTAAAGCTTTGTGATGACACTTTTCATTGAAGGTGGCAGACCGTAAGAGGTCTCTCTTTGTGCCAAAACAACATGCACTCGATGTGCTATGGACCGATAGCAAAACCTCTGTTCAGAAAAAAATACAAAAAGAGCTAAGATTGCACAACGTATACTGTAGTACATACTCCGTAAGCTGTTTTAAACAACTGCCTTCGACTACAATAAAAAAACGGTCTCGGCAGTAGATGCTAAATAAATGCTGAAGTGTACTTATCAAAGGCAGCGTTAACACCAGTCTCAACGTCCTCACACCAGGCAAGGATGCTAAATGAATGTACAGCCGCCCCCCCCCCCCCCCCTCAAGAGAGATGGAGGGCCTCATTTTAAAAGTCAGAAGCAGCACAGACACATTCTAAGGTGTTTATTTAAACGATACAAAAAAATAAAAAAAGATTACTCTTATTCACCGATCCTCTGTAATAAAAAAAGGCTGTTGATTATTGAGTATATCTGAATGAGAGGGAGGTGCAACCAGGGGGAAGCTGAAAGAAGGTGGCAGCGGGAAGCAAGGGGAAGGAGTGTGTTGTTTTTCCCCTCTCGTGGGTACACGGGAAGTTCACTCCGTGACCTCTAAACAGCAGGCTCCGCTTCCATTGGCTCCATAGTCTCCTCGGCTGACCTACACAGAAAGAAAACAGCATCTTTGTAAGCATCCCATGCCGAATGCAAACATCTCAGAGCTCCTGTGTTTCAGTTTGATGGCCTGTCACCCAGACTCCACATTATTAGCCCTGTCTGTCACGATGATGGGACCGTTGCTGAGGTCACAAGGACACCAGAGCATGTTCACAGCTCTGTCGTATATCACTCACGCTATTGGCAGACTCAAAATACTCGTTAGTGATCGTACAGCGATGTCCAATCTGTTTTCCGCCGATACATTCTGATTTACAACTAGTGCTGGATTTATTAAGTGAACTTAGAAAAACATTTTCATTCCAATTACATAACATTGTGAAGTGTAGATGACACCATGTTTTGCCATATCATGCAGGTATATTTGAGAGATAATGTAAAGCTCATTACATGTATTATTGACATTTAACACACGTATACAAATAACAATTTACGAATACCTACAAATACTTGACGTCTCTTTGTCAATCCACTGCTGGATGAATGACTCCCTCTGCTTTGTCCAATCACGCAAGTTTAATGACCATACTTCATCGTACTGGTCAGTGCAGGTTGGTGAAAAGGCACCAGTTCAGATATCAATCACCGCTGATGTTATCCCTGGCTGGGAATTGCACCACCATAGGTGCAGTGCGTCATCCACTGTCCCACCAATCTCGCAATTAAACTATAGCTACATATTATTAAGATGTCGTTAATATGTCATTATGAAGAGTAATGAAAATAGTAGGGTCCAGATTAATTTACATTGTTAAGCCTTTAAGGAATAATATTATATGAATCCGAAGACTGCACAAATAAAAGATAATTCTGCCATGAGAAACTTGTGGAAATTTACAGTCGGATATATATATGGTAATCTTTCCACATTTGTGGGGGAAAAAATTGTAACTACTCAGTCCCTTTGGAATAATGGAAATATCAACTACGCCGCCCACTTTCTAAATATAAACATGTATTCATGAAGGACTTGGGCTATGTCATTTGAGTTCATGCCGTATATCATTAATGTAATTGGTTCAAGGTAAACCAGCTGTGCTTTTTGCCTTCACTCACGTTACAAAGTGACCGAAAGTGATTTTCGTGATGGGCTTGTTTATTACTATTCAATAACACCCAGGGGAAGGTTTAAAGTTGTTTTTTTGTGTGCCAAAATGTAAACCCAATGTTGGGCCATCCATCTGCCGTCGATATCTTGCTGCCTTAGTCGCTGGAATTAATGTAAAAAAAAATAGATAAACGAATGAGCCCGGTGGATCGCTCGGAGGTCCCCCAAACTATTCGGAGCAAAAAAAAAACGGTCCCCATGGTCAACGAACTTTACTGATGAGCAAGACTGCTCATGTCAACACAATCATAATCGCCATTAGCCGTGATCAAACCACCGCTGGATAAAGGCCTTCCCAAGCTGCCACGATTTCTTACGATCCCATGACGTGATAATCCACCGAACATCTGCACACGCGTTCCATTTCATTGTTCAGTCTCCCAGGAGGATGTCTCTCAGACGAGATACATTCCTTCGCTGCAACTCCGTCATTATCCCGATCGTCGTCCATCACCCACTCCAATGACCTGTCCTGCCCAAGCCCATTTTTTGTATCGATTGAATGTCAATAACCTGCATGTGTACCCTAATCGATAGTGTTCCTCTTTCCGTGTTTCCTGATGTAATACCTAGGATGTATCCAACAAAGTAACATATATATTTAAAAATATATATTTAAAGACCATTTAAAATGTAATTGTTAATAGTTAAATACACCTAGGTACCAGTATTTATAACAAAGAATTTTATAACAAAGAATTCAACTCCTCATCTGCTTTTGTGTTTAGTTTGTTGTCTTTCCCCGGCACCTCCGATTAGCGCAGTTGGATACGTACGGTGCAAAAGTTCAACACACATACAGATCCATTGCTGTTCTGACAGCTTCGGCTGGAGGAGAATGTAAAAAAAGAAAACCCCAACAACTTGAAAAGTCAAAGCAGGGCTGAGAGGATTGAGACCCAAACCCAAAAAACTCAAATAGCCAAAGTGGGGCTGAGTGGAGTGAGGTCGTTGTTTTCCAGCAATTGACCTGTCCCAATCAAGCCTGCTCCTTCCCAGCTGCGAGAACCAGTGAGACCTCTAAGAAAGCAGTGTATGTGCACAAACAAACAAAACTTCCACTCGGGGCGTGTCAAAACACGGCAGTGCACGCCTCCAAACACAGCCACATCTAAATAGTGGCTTCTGTCACAACGGGGTCAGCAGAGGTCCCCGGTCTGTCCTCAAGAGTAAACAAATAAACTCCCGCCACCAGGAACCCCTCCACGCGTCGCTTCGCATCGGCGCGCGTGTCGCGAGTTTCGGCTGGCGTCAACGTGTGGCGCAATTCAACATGCGGTCGGCCTACATCTTTTCAGGACACGCGAGACCAGACGAGAAGGGAATAGATGGCGTACATTGCCATTTGCAAAAAATGAGGGCACGGTGCAAGTAGATTATGTGTAGAATATTATGCGGTTGGGATTTGTGGTCTGTGTTTCATCGGACGTAATGGAGTTGCTTGGCAATTTGAGGGTCAGAGTGAATCGCATGATTAGATCAGGCAAGCGTATTTTTAGATGTTGATCTAATTCACCATCATGCAACTCATCAAAAGACAAATGCGTTAACATTATAAGAAAAAAGAAATACAACGTGAGCTTATATTTTGTTAACTGATCCTCTTGGAAGTTTGAGGATTTGAAAAAAAATCATTCTTGCATAAAAAAAAATACATTCCTAAAAAGGTACAATTCATGTGTATCATCATCAGCCATGATCGATCCACTGCTGGATAAAATGTCATTGCTCCATCTCGCCGGTGGACGTACTTAGAGATGCGTTACATTCTTGGGCTGCAAGCTGTAGATTTTTCCACCAAATTGTTGATATTCATAAAGCACCCAGAGTGCTATCCCACCATCAATGGGCAGGGCACAAGCATGTTTTGGAAAATATAACTTTCTCCAAGTTAAGTTGGGGGCAACAGGAAACTGCCAAAGCATCATACCATCATGGGACAATCCTCAACCGTGGACAGTTGACTAATCAGGTTCCAATTTGTATAAAATACACACACACACCTATGTGCGGAACTCTGCTACAATGGTCTGCAGAAAAATCAATCTGTCCCATGAAGATACGAGTAGACCTGTAGCATTCACTTCCAATGGTGGCCCTTAGTGGTATAAATTGCACATTACAATGCAAGGAGCCAGTTTATCCATATGACTACTTCTTACAAAGTAGCCCTGCTCATTTTATTGACTCCTAAAGGACGATGTCCAAAGGTGATATTGATGATGGTGAGATGAGTCGAACCCTGGTTCAGCTTTCATGCTCACAACTTCATCATTATTACCATCAGCCGTTATCAATTCACTGATTGATGAAAGCTTCAACCGATCGGTGGTGAAGCATGTCTCTAATCCAGCAATGTGGACCCAACGAGGGTTGCAGGATCACATTAATGTTGTGAAACTCCTTTTCCACCTGGGCGTCGAGAAGGAGCTGTACCCTGGCTTGCCAGGAGTAGGCAGTGTAGTGAATGTGGACCTCACCTGTTCCATCTGTATGGGATAGAGGGTTGCCCCCTCGCACGTGAGTTTTTTTTCCGGGTGCACTGCTTTCCTCCCACATATAAACACTCATCGATTGTTGCCGATAACACCTCAATATATAGAGGACTGCAAAGCTTAGGTAATTGTTGGCACGGGCTGACTGCGTGTCTGCCTTCCCCCCACATCTCCATGATTCCCCCTCGGGCCTCTGAATCATTCCCCTTCCTCGAGAGCGAGTGAATACCATGTGCCGTGTTACAAGCCACGATGATAACAACGGTGGCTGTTCAACCCATGTTCAGCTCCGCCACGGCTAGTACCTGGGCTGTGCATGCAAGCTGCGCGCCTGCGCCACGTCCATGGAGAGCGACGCCAGGGCGGTGATGGTCTCCGTCTCCTCCACCTCGTGCTGCTGTGACTCCACCAGGGAGTGGCCAACATTGGAGGCGAAGTGGGCCACTGACTTCCAGTACTTGCCTAATTTAAAACAAAAAAAAACCAAGACAAACGCGCGAGACATACAGATCGTTTTGGGACATTTTGTAACCATGTTGTAATTGGAGTAAGACGTGGAAGAATAGCCGTGGGAAACGCAAAATGCACATAATCATAATAAAAAATTTAATAAATGAATAAAGGAAAAATGACAACAATAATAAATTAAACCGAGATAATCCTCTCTGATTCGCAGTTCGTTTTCCAGGAGGTCCTGGCATGACAGCAGCGATACAACAGTTCCACACAAATGACAGCTAAAATGATCATTCAAAGCAAAATGAAAATGTTATGCATTTTACAAACGTAAAACTCAACCAAAATAAACAATGTCATGTTTATAGACAAGAGCTCCATTGGCTTGGGGTAGTACTTTCCTGCAAAAACACACACATGAGCACGTCAAAAAAATCCCCCTTTTAACCTGGTTATAATATTAAGGCAAGAACTCTTAGCGAGCACCCATCAAGGCTAAAGACGCATGGCAGGGTAGTGGGCCCAAAAAGAAAAGCATGTCTCTTTGGCCAAATAAGCCAGCGGTGACCAACACAACCCAATTTGAACCTAGCATTGGCTCATTGTCTGCGCATTATATTTGGAGGCACGTTGGTGTGTGTCTCCCTGGTGCTGCTGCCGACACACCCATACCGTGCAGTGTACTTGGTTTTTTAATCAAGTTCACCTTGGGGAGGTTACAATGGCAATTACAAAAAAACAGTTGCCTCTGAAATTCTTGGCCAGGAAAAGGAGGATTGGTCAGCGCAGTGCAGTAACAATTACGTCATTGTTGCCCCCACCTTCCCCCATCTTGGCATACACAAAGGTCCCCCGTGGTAGCCTTAAAAGACTTATGGGGCAAGTGCTGTTAGCGAGCACCTATGGAGGCCAGCACAGCACGTGAGGAGGGGTGGATGGACAGTATCATGCCTGGCCGCCTTTGTCTCCCGTGTGATGATGTTTATGCACCACACCAGGTACTCATTTAAGTCTGAGTCAACATAGGGGAGGCCCTGGACTGTTTCAAATATGCATCACTGATGTGGGCCGTGAGCGGGAATCGAACCCGGGATGGCGGGTTCGTAGCGCAACGCGCTAACCGCTACACTACCACTCCCCATTACACTACTCCTACACTACCGTTCCCCATCTCAGCATGAACATACATGCACACATGCGCATACTCCATTGACTTTAGTGAGTGAACAATAAATATATTTTAATTTGTGGAATCACACAGGCAGCTGTGTCATTCACACCAAATTGCTTCTGCTGACGTCTTCAAAGCTGAAAGGGCTTAATAACCGTGGCCCGAACACCCGGCACCCCACCTTGTAAAATAATAAATAATTTTTAATGAAAGGCTTGAAGAATTTTGTTTACAATTTGCAACGTGATCTTCAGAAAGACTAGGGGCAATGAGCAAATGGCAGCCACTCGCTGCTGGAAACCGAAGAACATCTGACCTGACTGCTCCACAGGAAGATTATTCTGAAAGAAGGGGCAATTTCAGGGATGTTATAATGTGGCAGGATCGCAGCACCCCCGGGGTCAACTGACTCTTGTAACCTTTGCCCTATTGCCTTTTCCTTCCTGAAAGAGAAACCCCAAACATGTTTTGCCTTTTATGTGTAAGTTGGTCTATTCTCGCACCGATGGATTAATGATGGTTATAGAGCTCCGTTTTTTGTTGTTATTGTTGTTGTTGATGTTGTTGCTCAAGAGACTTTATAATACAACGATCATTTGTATCACTCGGCAAGTTTGGTCAAATGAGACTAAGCTATTCCAAGGGCACAATATGTGCATTATGAATGTTTTGTATGGTCATACTGGATAATGATAGTGTGGCTAAACCCACTTCTTCCAAGATGACTGGCCATCGTGGAAGAGTAGGCCAAATTAGTATCCACGAGAGAGGAGCTCTCTCTAGAGAGTCCCCTCCAGGACTGCCACTTTGCGTTAGAGTGACACTATGCATAATACGTTGGAATAAAAAATAATCTAGGTGTTTTTTTTATACCATCATCTTCTTACACGGAGTCTAGAGTTCTGTCTTTAGCCTTTGTGATTTTATTGGCAGTTATTTAATGAAAGTTGTCCCTTACTCTGGATGTCGATGACCTTCTCTAGAGAGACCACGGCGTTAGGGTTGGGCTGCTGCTGAAGGATGTCCATGGAGAGAGGCTCCAGCTGAAACACAGAGCGGATCGTTACACGCAACGCAACGAAGAGCAACGGTGACGTCGTCAATCAACTTCGCGCGTTAAAAAAGAGCACTCTTCTTTCTGTCAAATAAACACAAATTCCAACACTCACATGGAAAACGGGCAACTCACTCACCAGTTCAAATATTACAAGTGTACATGTGACTATGAAATATATTTTTTTATTTAAATATTGTAGCCACTCCCTCCTTCCAACACCTCCCCCCCCCCCCACCCAAAAGAAAATAACTCCCTATTTTGGAGTGCGATGGGTATTATACCGACATACAATATCATGTATTTTCATACAGCATCAAAATATAATATCTAAAACATTCCACAAGTTGGATCCCTTATGGCGCTAAAGATCTTTATTAAAAAGGACAAACGTCTTATATTCATGCGGTGCTCTACAAATACAAGTTTTCCCAACAGAACGTAGTCCGCCAGGATACAGAATCATAAAATGGCATAAATGATTACTGTGTCCTAAAAGGCCCTCGCTTTGCTCAACCGGTCCTGGACATGCATGCGTCTGTCACGTGGGATTACTGCTCTGTTTTCCCCTCTGTTTTCTTCCAGACATATAGGAACAGGCCTCCGCCTCCCTAACCCCCCCCCCCCAAGCCCCCCCCCCCCCCACAAAGCCCCCCTCCCCTCAAGCCTCCAACCCCCTCCGCCCAAGCTTTGGTCAATATGATAGCAACCAAGACACGCGCATGCCTCCATCAACGCACAATCGCCGTTTCTAACTCCACGTGCCAAAGCAGGGTGTTTAGAACATAGGCAGCTCAATCAACACTAATGGGCAAGCGTGCAGTCTCCCCTGTGTGTGCTACCATGTCAGCTGACACACCTCAGAAAGAAAATTAGGTAAGACATTCCAAACATTGGGGTAAGGTGGGGGGGGTGAGTTCATGCAGCCTATAAGAGAGTAAGTGATGTGGGCCACTTGAAAAGTACTCTGAATACATACATGAAGTGTGTGCCTGTGTTTGTGAAAATTATGAGCAGCGGTAGTGCAGTGGTTAGTGCACTTCGCTTAGAACCCAGCCAAAAGCAGTGATTGATATTTAAACTGGCTCTGGGCTTCACCTAGGTCGACTCAGCCTTAAATAAGTATCTGCTGCGGTGTGTAAACATCAGCACTGTAGTGTTGGCCACCCACCCCATCGTGTGCCATGCCTGCCTTAATAGATGCTCGCTAACAGCACTTACCCTAATAGCATTACAGGCTATATGGAGGATATTTGTGTAAAAATGTGGACTGTACAATGGAATAAATTAACACAAGCAGAGTCAAAATGGGTCACGTTTTGGGGCAAAACAAGCTGTCAGCATAGAGCTGAGAACGCATGCATTTGCACGCTTTTGTGAGCGTGACGGAAAGCAATTAACGGAACATCAATTACTTCAGAATTTACTTTGCGAGTGCAAATTTGCCATGCGTCCCTCATACGGTCATCCAAATTCCTGTGCATTAAAAAAAAAACCTTGAATATTCCCCAAAGTGTAAAACGAGGACGCAAAACGCGTAACCTGGGTAAAAGTAACAAAAAAATAACCAACCCACGACATGAGAATTCAAATTAAAGTCGCTATCCAATAGGCGTCAGAGGAGACGCCCCCGAGGCAAACTCGGCAGTTCAGGGAAATGAGGGCAGGACCTGGGAACTGTACAAAGAATTCCCGACAGCACAATTGGCAATGTCATTGCAAAAAAAAAAAAATTCCAATGCAAACATTATAAAGGTGGGGGGGGGGGGGGGCGAATATTGTGCAGTTCAGTGCAAACGTGCACTTTTAAGGCGGGCCCCGAAATTTAGTTTGCGTTTTCAATGAAAACGGGGCATCAAACGTGCGTGCGAATTACACTCCCAATTCATATTTTTCACTCTGATCTGAAGGCTGCAAAGAAATAAATCCATCTGCTTCTGTTTTGGAATATGCTGACATATCTTTGAGACAGAAAAAACTGCTATTTGTTTAAAGTGGTCTGTCAGTTTCCATGTGTGCAGACTTTTTGTTTAATTCAATCAACTAAGCGCAGAATTACCTGTACTACTTGAGCAGGTGCAAAAACAGGCGACTGAAATTAATCTAATTTAATTCAGGATTCTGCTGGAACTGTTCCAACATAAACATCCAACATGAAACATGGCATAAGACTAGCGTAGAGTGCACAAAACATGCAAGTATAATGTGCAAGCACCCACGGAACTCTTTGCCACACACGTATGGTTACGAAAAAGTCACTGAATAAGTCAATGATTGAGCAGGTGAAGACGGGCATATTGTTCGACTGTGCATGTGCGCTTGTGTCCCTGAAGGCGTTGATGTGCATGTTGTCCATCGTGTGTTCACTTTCCCAAACGATCTGATAAAGTGGAGAGAATCTGCAGTGGGGGCATGGAGATCATCATTTCCTGACAATCTAGTCTCCCACAAGGCATGCAGACAGTGACACTGAGTTAAATGCTTCCTTCCCCTGTAGGCAAAGTGGTCCTGTGTGAACTGAATGGAGAATGGCTCGCGGCCTTGGGAAACTGAACAAGACCACAACAATGACATCAGCAAGACAATCCATAGCATCTCCTCTGCACAGCCTTTGTGCTCCTCAGCTAAATGGAGACTTAAATAACCACAATCCCAAGTGTTACTACCGTTATGGAGCAAATATATTATCTTCTATGCTTCGTGCAAAAAAATAGTTCAGACACTGATACGCGACATGTTTTTCACTTTTACCACAGACACGTCAATCCACTGCTGGATGAAGGCCTCCTCATGCAATATCGGTCATGGAGGTTGTTGGACCATACTTCACCACACTGGTCAGTATTGGTTTATAAGGGAGGAAAACCCAAAACTGGTTCAGATATCTGTGGCTGATGTTAGCTATGGCCTTGAATCGAACTCAGTGTGCTAACCACTGTCCCACCATTCCACCATGTGATATGTAATTGACTTTGATTATAACTTGTGTTTTTTTTCCGGAATATATTCGCGAAGCATCATTTTATGCACAATGCATTTTTCCCCCTCTTGGATTCTTAATGGCGCTAGAAAGCAGCGTGCTGAGTTGCAAGGAGATTAATCTGGCGAAGACTTCCAGTGGCTACCGGTTTGCACGTGGGCGACAATTGATTACGAAACATATGACATATCAACAACGCATAAGACGGCGTGCATTTTGCCCATTTTGTAGAATTCCCCCGAGACCCGGGTTTTCACTGACATCGTTGGTAACACAATATCTGAGCAGAGGCTCCCACACAACATCATGTGGGGTCGGGGGCTTTTCAAGTTTGCTGCGGCACAGCGATCAGCGCTGCTCCCTCGTAGCCAATTTCCTTGAAATCCTGCGGCTGTTTGTTTATAAAATGTGCAAACATCAGTCATTCAAATATATTCAGCAGAGGCTCGCTTGATCATGTGCAAATACTGTTTGCAAACATTGGCCAGATTGCACATTTTTAGTTTGTGAAACATCCTAAAATGAAGACTACGGGATTAGGCGCATAGGAATGAAGGTACAGCCCTGCAATTGCTTGCTCACACCACTTCTGCCGGAAGGACCTCCACTAGAGGGAGTTCTGGAGAACCCCTCTGTTAAGTATTGTCCTACTCTTACACGCTGTCCAGATGTCTTGGAAAAAGCAATCGAGGTATGTTATGTAATATCAGCTGCTGATCGACAGGTGGAATTCGTTTTCTTTAAATAGCCCTCATTATAACCAATTCCATATATGTGACATTAAACGGCCACCTATATCTTGGGACAGGCTGAAATAAATGACATTTTGCTAAAATGTGCGGCAGTTAATGAACGCTGCGCATTCACCAAAATTGGTAATAGTCGATTGGTGAATGGGAAGTGTGGAACTTAATTTAGACAAGCATTCACTCACACAATAAACACAGCACCAAGTTCCAGATGTGAACCAATGCAGGGGAAAAAAAAGATTGAGTTAAAATAAAATAGCAATATTGAGACGTGCCCCAAAAAGCTAACACTGCACAGCTCTGAAGAAATCAGATGTTATCTCTTCAAATGAGGGTACATTTTCAAAGACAGGCCCTGACTGAGTGTCTTCTTTTAAACATTGTGGTAACAGTGTAAGAAGATAGTAATGTATTGAAGACAGTGCCAATAAAAGCAGGAGAGGACAGTAAGGGTGACCATAAACAAACACCATGAATCCTGGCACATTAACCCCAGAGTTCAACAGGTTCACACATTATTATTATGCACGGCTACGGCCATTGATCAAGTATCTTGTCTTCTTCTGCGCGTGATACATGGAGGTCAGCGGTTACGCAAAAAAGTGCACACGAGTCAATCTCACGGAATTGTCCGAGGATATTTATAGCACGCGTGGCTGCGTGGGCGCGTGGCCACTCGGCTTCTGAGGGTCAGGACTCTGGCTGCGGGGGTTTCCAAGCCCCTCGCAGAGAGGAACAGATTAGCCTTTGTGCGCGGGGACTTGTGGAAATATTTACCAGGAAATGGATAATAACATTGTCCGGAGGTTTTGATTGACGGCCTGTTTATATAGACCCTGCTGGAGTGACACGCTTGCCAGCCTGATTATGGTTAATATGGGACCTTTTTTTTTCCTCGGCATTTTTGGCAAAAGGCTAGTTAGTTATGCATTCATCTTGAAGGCATATGAGTTTGGCCAAAAGTTTAGCAAGATTGCTGTTGCGGGACTTGCTCCAATCACTTACTACTTTCCATATTAGGGTCACCAAGGGCAACATTAACAGCTAATTTAGAGAGCCCCCTTGCAAGGTGCTGTAAAGTGGTCGCTTGCATTTAAATATTACACTATGCAACAAAGAACCGCTTTAATACCAAATAGGTCCCCGATGTCTCATTTGAAGTGCACGCATTCCCATTCGTTCTACACGTTATATATTTTTGTTAAAAGTAATTCAAATCAGAACGGTTTCTTTCTGCATGAGCACGAGTTCACATTTTACACGAAAGCTTCAGTCACTGCGCCTTAGCAGAATTCCCAAATTTGTTTTACAACAGTAATTTAATCAAGGCACTTCATGAAACGTTGACATTAAATGTAATTTGGTTACCCTAATATAGAAAGATTACCATTGGTGTTTATACGCTATATCGTAAACGAGAATCCGGTTTCTGGAATAAGACATTTTGTGAAGCGATAATGAGTATGCGTGTTTTGTAATAAGCTAACACAAGGATAACAAGCCGCCCAGCTACAGTAATATGGGTCTGTCATAGGGGCTGGATCATTGCATTGCATGAACAAAATGGTCCAGCAAAAGCAATTGCAATGCTAGTAGAAGGCAACAGAGGCAGGGAGCGACCAAGACAACGATGGACTACTGGAGTGGAAGAGGTACTCGATTCTTTTTTACTTTAAAAACATTTTTATTTGACCAGGTAAGGCCTACTGAGCTATATAGCTCTTTTTCAGAAGTGACCTGCCCAGAATTGATAGCTCAACGAAGGGGCTTATCGTGTGGAAATGTATCGCAACCAAATACTCTAAAAGCGTGTTTCTAAATGTGTAAGGAAAAACCGGAGGACCTGGAGATAAATCCACGTGACCTCGGGGAGAGAGACACGCAAACTCCAAATTATACAGGCGTCAGGGCCAGGTGCCACCTCATGTGAGGTAGCTAACATCTCTCCACCGTGGCAATTCAATGCAGAGGAATGACAAACATCAGCAATAGTTGGAACATGATGACTGTCGCCAGTAGTGGAGGACTACTACCGGAAGTTTGTGGAGAGTCAGCAGCCTCCGTAAGAGGGGCGTTGGATCGCATCGGTGGTGGCGGCAGTGGCGGCGGTGGCAGCCTCACCTCATTGCCGAGCAGGGCCGAGATGCAGGACTCGGAGCCGTCACAGATAGCCGCCAGGTCATGGCCACCCTCGAGGGCCATTACCACACGACCGCCCGCCAGCCCCATCAGCTGCCGCGTCAAGTGGCCAAAACCTGCACGGAGGCACCGAAGCTGTGAGAAACGGCGAGGCGCAGGGCCGTGTTTAGTAAGAGTGTCCCTTGTTGCTCTGCTCAATTGAGCAATGGGGCAGTTCTCATCTCCACCGGTGGCCTTGAGCCAATGTTGGAAAATCTGCATTCCCATGGCAGAAGCCAGTCTCCGTATGCAATTATACACGACGATTTACATTTATATAGCGTCTAAGTTCAACAGCGTCTCTAGACGTTTCGAATATGTATGTTGAACTTCTTTCGCACCATACGTAGCCAACTGTGCTAGTCGGAGGTGTGTGGAAAGGACAATAAGCTAAACACAAAAAGCTTTAGAGAGTCAAAATAAAATAGCCATATGGACATGAAAACAAATAGGTCTTAGGTATTGACGTGAACAAGGGCATATTAATACTTTGTCTCTCTCAGTGGTACAAATTTTATCAACCAGAAAGGGATGATATTTAACTCGAAACCTTAAAAATGATCAAGATCTTTAACCACAGCACCTGCTCAGCTAGATAATGGAACCAAGGTTATGGCCGACAAATGAGATGTGGTGGTCAGGAGTGGCAGCTGCATTGGCACAACCCTTTAACATCATAACTGGTGCCCGCAGCGCCCACAAACTCACCTCCCCTGGACACCTCAAATCCCTACACACTGCATATTTGTAACTGTTGCATGGATAACAGAACTAAAATTCCATGAGGCAATGTGGATATATGAATGCGTACTATATATATTCAAGTATGCTCATATGAGTAAAGTACTCATACTTGTAAAGTCAAGCACACACTCATTGTCACACTCTGGCAATTTGTGTGTATTAGATATACTGCCTATTTAATCTGTGATGACGATGTTAGCATCAGTTTCTGTATGCATTCGACGCAAAATTGCATCTGTGTTTATATTTTTACCCTTTTTCAAGGCACAATAAAGCCTATTTAGCCTATTATTCCACACTCACCACAATGGATTCGACAACGCAGATAAAATACACACTCGCTCAACCCTGCGTTATCCAGACCACTGACTTGCAGTGGCTATTAAATTCCTCGGGTGACAGATGCCCACCTCCTGCAGTGGCTGCACGCAGGATTGATGTTGTAACTGTGATTAGTTATGTCTGCTATAATGGGGTGGACATGGGTGCCAATTAGGATTGCTTAGGTGAATTCAAGAACAAAATATCCCATTAGATCCCCCCCCCCAACCCTGGCAAAATAATGGTTGTGTGTGTATAGAGGATTGTATTGATAATCGATTGTAATAATTTGTACATGAAAGGCATTTTATTACATTTTGATTATAGTAAATAATAATGCATTTAGAAGTTGTGTGAAAAGGTTGATGTCAAATATATGGCTCTTTATAGAACTAGAGAGGGCAGGAAAAACACACAGCATGTATTTTAAATGTGTTCAGTCATAAAATCCTTCAGAGTGAAATGACAAAATAAATGTATTCAAGCGTGAACTCAGTAATTGGTCTTAGCAGATGTCACACTCTTTGAGAAATATTAACTTATTTGGGTTGGTCGTGTTTCTAGAATTGCAAATGGAAGGATCCCCAAGGTCACATTAGTCAGCAGGCCAAAATTCTAAAGAAAACAGCAGACCACAGTGTTTATGATATAAGATGTGTTAGGTGCATTGGAAAAAAAAACGATGTTTGTCTTGGCGTGACCTTGCGAAAAATAACTTCAATTATAAACAACGAATGTCACTTGTCTCAATGATGATGACAATCCTGTTGATCGTGAAATTAAATTCAATTAAAGTGAGTTTTGTACTCGTTTTAATAGCACTGACTGTTCTTAAACCAAATTATACAATGTTGCTATATAAAGAATTGAGTAGCAGAATTCAGGATTTCAAATATTGAGGTTCCACTGTGGTTGAGTCGGAATCAATTAGTGGTCACTGAGTCAAGCATTTTTTTTTTATTATCAGAAAGTCATGGGAAGATATGTCTCAAGACAAACACACAAACCAGACAAATGGTGAACACAAACACAAGCAGCCACAAACACGAGCCACAGTTATTTCCAGAAACCTCATGTAAAAAATAAAAATAAAAACACGAGGGGGCAATCAGTCCAAAAAAAATTCCCTCCCACACACACCTACAAGCCAATTAAATGATGTAAATAAGATTATTTGGGCGTTTTTTTCATGGAATGTTCATTTACTCTGTCGGGACTTAACATTCAATGTGACATATATATCACCAAAACGTCCTTTGCGCTAAAAAAAAAAAATTGTTATCGGTGTTCTCGTGTTGTCACGTGTTTATTGAAGCTGGAGAATTAAACGCAAATAAAACTGGGTTGAAATTCCAAATAACTCTCGAGAACATAACCAGATAAATGACTGGGGGAATAAATAATATAGTTTTACTGTAAACATTGTTTTTCTGAAAATAATCTAGAAGCCAACACCAAAAAAGGAAGTATTTTTATTTTATTAATGTGCACCGTTATTGAGTTAAATCTAGCTTGCTTGCTTGCTCTTTTAAGTATTTTTAAGTTTTCGGTGTGTACACACATTCCATGGCTGGGGACCTTGGCAGCGATTCGCCAATCCCCAGAAGGTTTCCACTTGAAAAGAGGCCGGCTTCGCAGTGCGTGTGCAGTGAGGAAACGCCGCTACCCCAAACCAGATGCTCCCCACTGTTAGCGAAGGGGGCCCTCAAACAAACTCACACGGGCGCTGTAATCAAACGCAGCCCGAACTCGTGCGCTTGGAACACTTTGAGGAAAGGCTCTGACATGACACCTGATGGGATGGGGGTTTGGGGCGTATGGGCCTGTAAGCATTCGTGGTGGTGGGGAGGGGGAGGGGAGTTGGGGGGGAGGTGAACGTCAAGCGAGTGGGTGGTGTGGTTTTGTGAAGATCTCAAACCACATAGGATTTTTTTTCACCCAACCGCAATTCACGTCAGCTCTCGCAGGTGGATATTAAAGCAGCTCGTCAGTCTATAATCCATTCTCCCTTCATCCTAACGCTGCACATGCATTTAATTTACCCATCCAACGGTACGCACTTTCATCACGGAGTACCGTACACGCTATGCGAAAACAACACAATTCGTCGCGATCGTTGCTGTACGTCCAAAAGATGAAAATGCATTTAATATGCGAGCGTAGCAGCCATTCTCATATGACATAAAATGATTTACTACTTACATTCATACAACTTCATCATCATCATCATCACCACCATCATCTACTTTATATGCTTTATACATTGATGGCATTTCCATATTCATTCCATTGTCTTTGCTCCTCTACAGCTGCAATCCATCTCGGCCCAACGCGAGTTTCTTTTAGTGCACATTATGTACAAAAAGTAGCACACTCTATCACGTAAATTGGTTACAATGGGACAATATGCATAATATTAAAGGAAAACACGTATACATTACTGCGTTGATGTATGGACCGGTAAAGATTCCATAGAAACAATGTGTCTTAAGTGGGAATTGCCTTACACTTTGCTGAAACCTTGTATCCCCCAAGAGGTGGTGGATGCCCCTCTGCCGCATCAAAACCTGACGAGACCAGCACCACGTCTGGGGAGAACTCGTTGGCAATGGGCAGCACCACCGTCCTGGTGAACACAAAAACACACAAAATCAGAAACACATCCGTGCCATGATTTGGGTACAAACACCTGTTGGGATAAGAAAGGGCAGGCGTAAAGGGCTATTGGTGATGGACTTATGATGCATTGCTAAGTTTGGGTATGTTGTTGGTTGTTATATGTCACTAAACAAAAGTGCCTTGCATAAAGGCACTTTTTTAATGGACACTAATGTCATGAATTGTTTAAATAAATAAATAAAGCTCCAAACTTTTTTTGGGATGGCATATATCCAATTTAGTGATCCTAAATGTGTGGTGTAATGTTTTTAGATTTTAGTATTTGTGGTCCGTATTCACGGTGGGCATGTAATATACAGTACAGCATATACAATAAATAGAAAAAATCTTCAGAAATGCCCCCAGTACATTGTATTACAAACAGACGTGGCTTACATGTCATCCTAAATTTGGTGTAATGTATTGCTCTTCTGTTCTCAAATCGATACTTAAACAATAAAACAAAAACATTTATCAGCAACAACAAAAAGCTCAGAATGATGTCCTGCTCAAATAAGCATTGAGGTATTGGTGGGGATTCCTATGGTGTGGATGAGTCTTTCCATGGGACAACCAGTGTATGAACAATACAAAAATGGAGGGAATATCTATTTACATACATCACGCTGGCAATAATGAATGCAAATGATGTAAATTTCCACAACACAGGGTGTGACGCAAACAATCACATTTTTGTTAGCTGCTATAAATTTCCACGTGATAAGCCACTTCGTTGAGCTATCATTTGTGGCCAGGTTGCTTCTGAAAAAGAGTTATATCGCTAATTTCGGAAGAAACTAGGAACAAGTGAAGCAGCAGGAAGTCTACATATCTTTATATATCTGTATATATAATTTGCAAGCGTCCGTTTGTCCGTCACACTCTGGATCTCCCAAACCAGTACGTGTGAAGAGAGAGAGACACGTACAATTGTGTAAAAAGGAGGGGAAAGGGCGAGAGGGATACATGTATGATTTTTCCCCAGTAATTTCTTCCCATTCCACAACGCTGCATGCTGAATATGTACCGCAGTGTATTTAGACCATTTTGCCTTGCTTTTGTAGACTATGATAAGGTGCTCTATTTGATTCTGTGGAAATAAGGACTGGGATTAATCCATCATGGCCCGAGCTTCCGAATCCAAAACCGGATTCCAATATTTATTGCTTTTAAAGAAACAAGAAACTAATTATAACGTGCAATCAAAGATTTAAGTTCTGAAAATGCTACGAACAGTAAGTAGCAATACACAGGAACTTAATTGCATCTGCTTTAACCTTAGGAGTGGGCATTGTATGTCTCAGATACAATGTGCCCCTTATGTTTGAGGGTGGGAATGTAATCAGCATCCTGGGACCTAAAGGGTGTTGCACTCACCACTCTCACACCACAGTAGCTCTCTTAACTTTCACACCGAGATGATGTCACACAATGGTAGCTGTTCTTCATTTTACTGGTGAGCTCAAACAATGATCGTTGTGCGTAAAATACTTGCGCGTGTGGTGATTCATTTGTTTTTTACGTCGAGTGTCGTTGGGATTTGTAATGATCCAGACTTGATCATTACATGGCCCGGCCCAAAAATTCCATTATGAATCATAATCTTCTTGTTTCTTTCGGTAAAGTCACGTAGAAGGGAAGTAATCAAAAATAATAAAAACAAAACATAATAAAACAATTCTCACGACGTTTCGGCTACAACGCAAGCAGCCGTCTTCAGGTGAAGAATGAGACACTACCAAACTAGGAGCTTATATATAAGCTGCATTGGGGGTTGAAGAGCGCCTTAACAAAAAGAATGTGCATGTGAAGAGGGATTTAGCATATTCATGGAAAATGCGTAGGCGTTGGGCGGGGGGGTGTCAAAGTCATATTATGCCCATGCATTATGCAGGATCAGCAGCAACCAAGGGGGGTGCAGGGATTAGCAGTAACAAAGGAAAGGAATGTTAATGATATGTAGCTGCAGTTACTCAACAACCACGTAGAAAACTAAAGTATAAACTACATAAAAAACTAAAGTATAAACTGCATCGCACCATCAGTATACTTACTATACTCTATAATAAGCTGAGTTACTAACAGCAAGTAATACATTACAATTTTACCTCGTAAAAATTCTATAATATGCTTCCATCTAAACCTTATTCTCTTACATCACACGAGCATATACCGTACTATATACTGCCATAGATAAACCCAACATTAAATTATATACTGTATTGCTGTAAACCAACCTATATCTTATACATTTAATATCACACTATGTATTATTCTACACACCCTAATGTGTATCGAAATGGTTTATTACGTCCTTCCAATGATTGCTGAGCCAGAATCCATCTTCTCGGTTAAAGTTGTCTCTGTGTTTGTATATGTGGATCGCCTCATGAACGAATCTCTCATGATAGCCAGATGGCTTGCAGAGAACCTCTGTCTTGGAGAAGTCAATATCATGTGAGCCCACTGAGTTGTAACAGTGATCTGCCACGGCTGAGGTGTTAGTCCTACCGTGTTTCAGGTCAGCTTTATGTTCACGGATGCGGTCCGAGACATGTCGTTTGGTTTCCCCAATGTAACTGCTACCACAGAGGCAACTTAGTTTGTAGACGCCAGGGTACTGTATGTCTGGAACCACATACAGTACCCTGGCGTCTACAAACTAAGTTGCCTCTGTGGTAGCAGTTACATTGGGGAAACCAAACGACATGTCTCGGACCGCATCCGTGAACATAAAGCTGACCTGAAACACGGTAGGACTAACACCTCAGCCGTGGCAGATCACTGTTACAACTCAGTGGGCTCACATGATATTGACTTCTCCAAGACAGAGGTTCTCTGCAAGCCATCTGGCTATCATGAGAGATTCGTTCATGAGGCGATCCACATATACAAACACAGAGACAACTTTAACCGAGAAGATGGATTCTGGCTCAGCAATCATTGGAAGGACGTAATAAACCATTTCGATACACATTAGGGTGTGTAGAATAATACATAGTGTGATATTAAATGTATAAGATATAGGTTGGTTTACAGCAATACAGTATATAATTTAATGTTGGGTTTATCTATGGCAGTATATAGTACGGTATATGCTCGTGTGATGTAAGAGAATAAGGTTTAGATGGAAGCATATTATAGAATTTTTACGAGGTAAAATTGTAATGTATTACTTGCTGTTAGTAACTCAGCTTATTATAGAGTATAGTAAGTATACTGATGGTGCGATGCAGTTTATACTTTAGTTTTTTATGTAGTTTATACTTTAGTTTTCTACGTGGTTGTTGAGTAACTGCAGCTACATATCATTAACATTCCTTTCCTTTGTTACTGCTAATCCCTGCACCCCCCTTGGTTGCTGCTGATCCTGCATAATGCATGGGCATAATATGACTTTGACACCCCCCCGCCCAACGCCTACGCATTTTCCATGAATATGCTAAATCCCTCTTCACATGCACATTCTTTTTGTTAAGGCGCTCTTCAACCCCCAATGCAGCTTATATATAAGCTCCTAGTTTGGTAGTGTCTCATTCTTCACCTGAAGACGGCTGCTTGCGTTGTAGCCGAAACGTCGTGAGAATTGTTTTATTATGTTTTGTTTTTATTATTTTTGATTACTTCCCTTCTACGTGACTTTACCGAAAGAAACAAGAAGATGAATCCCTGCAGTCACGAAAGCTTTAAATCGAAAAATGAATCATAATATTGGCTGCAAAGAGCTACGTGTAAATTCATGGTAACCTTTATTAACTCACGCATTTATTTATTTTTCATTCACACGGTGCAAACTGTTTTGTCTCTCACACCATGGCAACTTTGATCATAATTAGCCATGATCTATTCACTGCTGGGCGAAGGCCTCCCCAAGCCATCGCCACAATGATACAATCCATCTCGCTGCCGGTACATGAGCTGATCTCATTGTTCCCACCCTATACGAGGACATCTACTTGGGCCCATTCTCTTCGTTGGTTGTCACTCTGCCCTTAGCTTTGATCGCCAGCTGTCACGGCCGTCTAGCGACACGGCCTGTCCAAGCCCGCTGTTGATGCATTTACCCAAGCTTTCACAAACCAAAGCATGAATCCAAAATAAAATGCATTTTTTGGATAATTTAGTGATTTTTGTTAATGCATTATGTCCGACAAAATATATTCTGGTGCATCTGAATTCTGAAATACATTGTACACTATTTTATGGTATTATAGTGCATTATAGATACATAATACACCACATAATACAATTTATAGAGCACTTAAATAACATTAAACAAGATCTTATTCCTGCGTATGGCAACATGTTTAGGAGCTAACTGCCAATGTCTAGGTCTGCAAGCCACGAGGGTGCTTCAGGAGAGACTAAATGTAGTTTTGCCACTCCTCAATTAAAGAAGTGCAGGCTACAGTGGTTTGCTATTTGGTCCATAGTTTGGATTGCATGTGTGTATGCATGTTAAGCTTCTTTCGCACTGTACGTAGCCAACTGCGCTAATCAGAGGTGCGGGGGAAAAATAACCAACGTCACACCAAGGCTTGTACATTAAACACAACGTAAGCTTCGATTTAAAGGTTTCGTGACTGCAGCGATTCATCTTCTTGGTTCTTTCGGTAAAGTCACGTGACTTTACCGAAAGAACCAAGAAGAACAATGCAAGCTAATCTCGTGTGTTCCAATACGTACTATATACGACATAACGTGATTCCTTGAGCATTTAAAATGCATTATCCACTACATCCGCTGTTCCAGTAGATTTGCAAATATAGTACGCAATACAAAATGCTATTCTAGTATATTTCAAATATATTTTTGACAACGTAAGCTATTCCAGTGCATTTCAAAAGTGTATTAAATGCTTTGATGTGGCTGGAAGTACTGCCTGCCATGCGTTCACACGTGCACACTGTGCTGCCAACAGGCACCGACTGCATATTTTCAGTTTCTGATTCAACACACAGACTTGGATTTGTTCAAACTCGAAAAAACGTGCCAAAATGTCGAATCGAAATTTTGTATCCATATTTATATGTGCCCCAATTCCTAGTGGAAAGTGACGTAGTCAGCTGAATGCATACAAACCATAGCCTTCATAAAAATATACAGAAATCATGAAAAACATTTATTTATAAAGACAGAACAGATGCATTGAGCTTTAACAAATTAGAAGAGAAGTCAGGAAAGACGATACATTCCAACTAAGGCTAGGCAGAGTGACACTAGAATATATTTCTGTAAATTACATTAGAGCAATATAAACACGAGTAAAACAAATGCAAAGTGCAACAAGTTAATTGAACAAAAATGTAAAACACAAGTTGGAGGGATAGTACTTAGATCAGAAACGTGAACTCTAAAAAAGAACACAAATGCGCATGCATGGAATTACACAGTGATACAGAAAGATGAACACATAGATTGTGGGTATAAAAAACGCAGATTATATACATCCACAGTGACTGTTCAGGAAAGCAAGTCCACACATTGTTAGAAGGGAAGATGACTGATGGACGAGACTGGTTATGGAATGGCAGCCAAAGGAAATAACATGCCCAAGAAAACAACCACCACCACCGAGATGGAACGATAAGATCAGCTCATGCGCAGGAGCTAGATGGGTGACGCACTGTGGGACCACGAGGGATGGTGGCGACATGGGGAGGTCCTTCATCCAGTGGATAGATAATGTCTGATGGTGATAGTGATGATGATGATGATACACAGTAAAGCTGTTTATTCAGATCAATTTAAAATATCACGTACTAACAAACCTTTTTGGGAAAAACGATATACTACAGAGTACCGTACACATGTGTTTTTAAAAAATAATTATGAAATGTGCAGACTAACACATATCAAGTTATTCTTGAATACAGTAACTCCTAAACATTGACCCACTTATTCCATCACATGATTACAAACATACGACATAGAAAATAAACTGTCACTTGTCATCTCCCTCACATGTGTTTGCTGTACCCCTCTTCTCATATATTCGTATATTTCATATGTATATGCTGTATTAGCAGCTGTGAGATGGATAAAGGCATGCGGGGAATGGAAGTTGTTTTAAAGTTGGAAGCTTTTTTGTCTGTCTTGACCACAGTACTGGCAGAACTCTTAAAACCGCAGGCTCTGACCTCAGATAATGTCAGCATTTGGTCTCCTGAGTCTAAAAAACATCCCCCTACCACAACAGCCCCAGGCAGGCTTATTGCCACCGGAATAAAAAAAACAACTCTTTAATATTTTTATTATTTCTGTTACTATTATTTGCCATAATTATTTATTTTAACATTGTTTCTGGTATAAACTAAGATTAATTGCAATTAGAGCACTCAAAATAATATACATTTCTATTTAACCGCTACCGGTACCAGTCTATTTTTAAGTTAAAAGTCACGCAGACAAGTCATATGTGATAATCATCTGAAAATGTTCTTAATGTGAGTTTGATTGAGATAATTGTGGATTCCCAAACCCCGATGCCCTCCGGCTCTCATTAAAGAGAATTCAAAAGTAAAATTGCCGAAAACTTCCAGACAAATTAATGAACCGAAATTTCCCAGTGAGAAGCGAACATCTCATCATGTGACAATGTGGAAAGTGGTTCTCTAGGACCACTTGCCAGCAGTAAACATTGAATTATTAAAGTAATATGGCAAAATGTTAAGTGTCACTTTTATACAATTCATATTGCTCACTGGTCGTGAGAATGGTGAACTGCATGCGACATTACGAGCAGGAAGCCATACAACTCCTGGATTTTAAACTATTTCTTGCTCCATAATGACATCTATTTAATAACATGACCGTGTCGATTCAGTTTGTGTAAACCTCATTAATTTGAACTGACTGGATTTTTTGTCAACACGACTGTACTTATATTCTCAAAACGACTTGGCATATATATTTTTCAAAGAATGCAAGGTATAACACGAAGGCTTTCGCGACTAATATTATTCATAATAAAGGTTTTTGCGTCAGATCACGTAAGTATAAATGTGTCGTAACCCTCCACCACCCGACACAGTAAGGTTTGTCACGTAAACAAAAAGTGCCAATTAGTTACTACTTCAGCCCACCGGAGTGTTGGAGAGTGAATCCACAACATTTACAATTTACTGGCTCTGTCGGGTGGTGGAGGGTTACGACACATTCATACTTACCCGATCTAACCTAAAAACCTTTATTACGAATAATACAAGGTATATTTTGCGTCATATTAATATTTTGGAGGAATAAAAATCTTCCCTGCTTTTCATCGAATTATTTTGAGCAAGCTTCTCTTTTAAAATTCAAAAATATAATTAATGTAGGCTTGCGGTGGCCAATTTCATGAGCGCGTAGCTTTTTGTTTCCCAACGAAATCGTAATAACGGTTCTAAAGCATTTCATCTTGCAACTGTGAAGCATTTTTGTTTTCTCTTATCGATGAAGCCAGACACGGGGGCCGAGCATTTACAACATTTCAGATGCAAAACTAAATTCGGCGCATGCCCAGAGCGAGCGCGGCCGCTTTATACGCATCGCTGTGCACCACTGTACAGCATCAAGAACGCACATAAAGCATTCCCGCGCACGGCGAGATGAACGATGGGGGCGAGGCGGAGCGATGGCAAACCTGGCACATTAAAACCCCAGGCGGCCCCGGCGCATTCGGGCCCAGCGAGGCTACACTGATCAGAGACGGGGGGGTCGCACATCAAACGGGGAGCGCATTGCCTCCACACAGCCGTGATGCAGGCCCTGCGACCGCCTGCTTCCAATTACCTCGCTCAACCCGGCGCACGCGCGCCCGAGCGAGCGAGCGAGCGAGCCCGCGTGTGCCGCCACTTCCAAAGCCCCCTCGCAGGAAAGCACTCAGGGCCCTCTTGGCTTTCATTACGGCCAATTACCTTATCTTTTTTTTTCATCTCCACAGTATCCCCAGCAGAGCTCCAAGTTGGTTTGCTTGCTCCACGGCTAAGCGCTGCTCTTTTGCCCGAGGCCTCGGTGCAGAAAATGCCCCCTCCCCTCCCCAAACTGCATGCCCTGATATTCCACATTATTCTTGCCCCCATTCCTTCCCCCACAAACTGGCTTAGTTGTTTTTGTTTGCCTTGATCTAAAATAGAACCCTTTGTACCGCAATGTGGGTGTATTACGCAGGAAGAGCATAGAGGGAAATCATCCGGTTTAATCAAGCACTGAAGCAGACAGAAAATGTGTCACTGTGTTAATGTGACAAGTGTTGCCTTGCGCGAATGTTTATTTTCGATCGGTCTAAACGCCACTGAGGAGATGATTGCCAATATTACACACGTGCTTTAAATATTATACTTGTATGTGACCAAATGTTGTTGAGGTAAGATCAGTGATAAAATCAACAGAATGATCGATGTAAGTCACACAAATAGTGAAAAAACGTCGAGCAATGATTCAGAATACATCTAAAGAACTCAACTTTTGTAAAGGGACTTCAGTTTGGTCCACTGAGTATCTGTAATTGGCTACAGTTGTTTGCCTGTACACAGGCAACATTCAAAACCTTTTCAAAAAGTAGAACAAAAATGTTGCACAAAAATAATGGTAGGCTTACTTTATAAAATAATGAGTGCTTTCACATTTGGGGTCAGGTTAAATGAAAGGCAATCACAGTGAGTCTCTGTGTAAATTAATATCTTGTTTTCAAAATTACTTAAATGCCCTGAAGCAAATATGCTACGTAAAAATGACATTATATTCCTCTATTAATTGTTCATAGACAAATACTTTCTATTTACAGTATTTAGACTTTAAGAGCAAGGTCTACTCATGACTACTTATTAAAAACACGGGGGCAGCATATGTGAGCAGCGCCATGTTCTACCGTATACACGTTGGCAACAGGTAGTAAATTACTCCTGAGTAAACCTAGGGGAGGCCCAGGACAGGTTAAGATACCACTTGCTAATCAATGTGCATGTGGAAACAAAATTAGACCTGATTCACATGGATCGTAGCAGAGTGTGCTCAACACTAAACTTTCTTGTAGTAGTTACACACACACACAACTTCGCTAATCACCCGTGTGTGTGTGTGAGTTTATGATGGGCAGGAGAATACAGGGGGAGCGGTAGTGTAGTGGTTAGTGTGCTGCACTACAAACCCGGCGATCTGAGTTCGATTCCCGCTCATGGCTACCAACACCAGCGACGATTATCTGAACAGGTCCTGGACCTCCCCTAGGTCGACTCATCCTCAAATGAGTACCCGGTGCAGTGTGTAAAAACATCGTCACTGGGGAGACAAAAGCAGCTGGGCGTCGTGTTGGCCACCCAGCCCCTCGTGAGCTTGTGCCAACCTTATAGGTGCTCACTAACAGCACTTGCCCAACGGTCTGTTGAGGCTATACAGGGGATTGTTGTATTTATGATGAGCAGCAGAATAAGGGGGGTGGGTGGGGGTGGGAGAGGATGGCTGTAAAAAATATTTTGGACCCCCCCACCTCCTCTTTCAGTATATAACTTCTCGTGAGATGACAGAAGTGACATGGACAAGAGATATTATATGGATCTTTCGGTAAAGTCACTGTAGATAGGTTTAAAGAAAATAACAAAAAACTACGAAGAGATAGAGATGTGTGTGAGATGAGAGAAATGTAGGCACAGAAACGCAATGGTCATCAGGCACACATTCTCTGAAACATGCACAGTTAAAGCACACTGTATAAAGAGATGAGAGACAGGAGATAGAAATGAGACAGAGACGTCGTGATTTTCGATGCACCCATATTTGTTGTCCTCTATCTGGGACTCCTCGAGCCGAGTGCACTAAGCTTGCGTACTAAGCTTTTGCCGAGTACACTCATGCCTAGCACCACAACTGGCTGTACCTGAAGGCTGCGAGGTATTCAGCATCTCCCATGGGAGGGTCCAGCCCTCCTGTCCAAGCGATGTTCACATTGAAGCCGATGCCAGCCCCTGTGCCAACCTGTGCACACGCGCAACAAGAGACAACGAGCACGCTGGATTTCAGACAAGCGTTGCAGGTGCATCGCGCATGCACACACACACACAGAGTATCTACTTGAAGCCAGACCAGAAAAATGCGCAGTTGTAATTGCGAAAATCGCATGCGATGCTATAGAACACACGTGTTTACACGAGCAAAAGCATTTCATCAGATATAGTGACTTTGGGTTTTTTTTGGTGCAAGGTGATCAAAATACCAACGAGTGTTTTGTTGTTTTAGTTCTGTTGGATGTTGTTTTTGGCAGAGCATTACAAAGTGTTATTATCCTGTTCGATCTGAATTAAATACGCAATGGTCATCACGCACACACACTCACACGTGCATAGTTCAAGCAGAATTTTACGAAGAAAAAAGGCATAACCCACAATAAAATATAATCGGATATAAAAGGAATGCGAAAAAAATAAGTATTTTCCTTTGCAAATATATATATATTTTTTCATATAATATATTTAAAGTGCTAAGAATTTGGTATTTCCCACAATATGGTTCCATGTATCCAAAACGAGTTTTTAAGACCCTTTCATCCACAATTTCACGCAATAAAAGGATAACATTTTAGGTTGGATTGGTAACATTGCAGGCCATTTCTACTTATTTATTTAGCATTTTAGTCACATGGAACTACATCACAGCAAGAGCACGTAAGAACTAACCTAAGAATAACAATGTAGTGAAAGCACAGGATGTGATTTTTCTTCTACTTTAAAATGAACAAATGTGTCAATTAGCAGAAAGTACTGGGCTCCAAGACTAACTATGCTAGGCACAAATAGCTGGACCTACTTGCTTGAATTAAAGTGTGTTGAGGGACCAATTTGTACTTTAACTGCTCAGTGAAGGGAGCTTTGTACTTGGCTACTACTGATCCGGCTATAGTTACTCCTAGGAATGATGCCACTAAGAACTGCTGAGATTGCTGCTGTGGCTACTGCTGCATCTGCTGCTGCTACCTTCTGCTGCTGCTGTTATTGCCGCTGCTGCTGTGGCTGCTGTTGCTTCTGCTGCTACTACAGATTTATTCTAGATTTGAAGCGTTCGTGACTGCAAGGATTCATACTCTTAGTTCTTTCGGTAAAGTCACGTAGGTAAAAAATGAAATTAAAATTAATAAAACATTAAATAATAAAAATCACCGACGTTTCGGAGGCAACACAAGTCTCCGTCATCAGGTGGGACCGTCGTGACTTTACCGAAAGAACTAAGAGTACTACAGATTTAGTTTGTACTGCTGCTGCAGCTGTTACTCATGCGGCTGCTGCAGTCGCTCCTGCTGCTGCATCTGCTGCTGCTACCTTCTGCTGCTGCTGTTATTGCCGCTGCTGCTGCGGCTGCTGTTGCTTCTGCTGCTACTACAGATTTAGTTTGTACTGCTGCTGCAGCTGTTACTCATGCGGCTGCTGCAGTCGCTCCTGCTGCTGCATCTGCTGCTGCTACCTTCTGCTGCTGCTGTTATTGCCGCTGCTGCTGCGGCTGCTGTTGCTTCTGCTGCTACTACAGATTTAGTTTGTACTGCTGCTGCAGCTGTTACTCATGCGGCTGCTGCAGTCGCTCCTGCTGCTGCATCTGCTGCTGCTACCTTCTGCTGCTGCTGTTATTGCCGTTGCTGCTGCGGCTGCTGTTGCTTCTGCTGCTACTACAGATTTAGTTTGTACTGCTGCTGCAGCTGTTACTCATGCGGCTGCTGCAGTCGCTCCTGCTGCATCTGCTGCTGCTACCTTCTGCTGCTGCTGTTATTGCCGCTGCTGCTGCGGCTGCTGTTGCTTCTGCTGCTACTACAGATTTAGTTTGTACTGCTGCTGTTGCAGCTGTTACTCATGCGGCTGCTGCAGTCGCTCCTGCTGCTGCATCTGCTGCTGCTACCTTCTGCTGCTGCTGTTATTGCCGTTGCTGCTGCGGCTGCTGTTGCTTCTGCTGCTACTACAGATTTAGTTTGTACTGCTGCTGCAGCTGTTACTCATGCGGCTGCTGCAGTCGCTCCTGCTGCATCTGCTGCTGCTACCTTCTGCTGCTGCTGTTATTGCCGCTGCTGCTGCGGCTGCTGTTGCTTCTGCTGCTACTACAGATTTAGTTTGTACTGCTGCTGTTGCAGCTGTTACTCATGCGGCTGCTGCAGTCGCTCCTGCTGCTGCATCTGCTGCTGCTACCTTCTGCTGCTGCTGTTATTGCCGTTGCTGCTGCGGCTGCTGTTGCTTCTGCTGCTACTACAGATTTAGTTTGTACTGCTGCTGCAGCTGTTACTCATGCGGCTGCTGCAGTCGCTCCTGCTGCATCTGCTGCTGCTACCTTCTGCTGCTGCTGTTATTGCCGCTGCTGCTGCGGCTGCTGTTGCTTCTGCTGCTACTACAGATTTAGTTTGTACTGCTGCTGTTGCAGCTGTTACTCATGCGGCTGCTGCAGTCGCTCCTGCTGCTGCATCTGCTGCTGCTACCTTCTGCTGCTGCTGTTATTGCCGTTGCTGCTGCGGCTGCTGTTGCTTCTGCTGCTACTACAGATTTAGTTTGTACTGCTGCTGCAGCTGTTACTCATGCGGCTGCTGCAGTCGCTCCTGCTGCATCTGCTGCTGCTACCTTCTGCTGCTGCTGTTATTGCCGCTGCTGCTGCGGCTGCTGTTGCTTCTGCTGCTACTACAGATTTAGTTTGTACTGCTGCTGTTGCAGCTGTTACTCATGCGGCTGCTGCAGTCGCTCCTGCTGCTGCATCTGCTGCAGCTGCAGCTGCGACACTATTGGCTGCTCTTGCTGCGACTGACCTCCTCTGACGCTCCACTCCCCGGAAAGAAGTTCCCTCCGTCGTAGCGGTGCAGGGAGAGGTAGAGGACGGAGGCGTCGCCGTAGAACGCCTGCTGCGTCCCGTTGCCGTGGTGGACGTCCTGGGGGAGCCCACGGTCGCACGCGCACAGAGGCCCCTACCGCGCGTGTTGCGTCTCGGGCGACGGCTCACGAACGAACGCGCGCCGCGTGCCGATGAAAGCACAGCGCGAACCGTCTTGCTCACCCTTTCTCTGCGTTACGTTTGGTTCATCATCATCGTCATCACTGTCGCCGTCGTCATTTATTCTTTTTCTTTTTTCGATCGTTGAATGGAAAGTCAACAGTTTTTAAATGTGATTTATTTTTTACTTTTACTGTTAAATGAACGCGTTTGTCTATTAGTAGAGTGGACTGGGTCTACTTGCTTACATTAAAGTGGGTTGAGGGATCAGTTTTGTACTTTAACTGCCTCGCGACGTGTTGTTTTTGCATCCTGCCATACGAAAGTAGAACGATAATGAAGTAACATTTATTTATTTATTCATAATTTATACTGGACCTCCCAATGCATACACATAATGAGCATGATTATTATTAAACGATTTCATAATGTGGATGCAATTGACTTGTTTGTGATATTGTACAAAAATCCTTGTTGAAAACGTATCAATAACATTAAAATGAAAGTATGTAGAGCAATAATGACTGCTTGTGTGTGTTATATTAGAACAATGAAGTGGGGTGGATGGAGGTTGCGCAAATACTCCAGCATTGCTCATGGTAAAAACGTGTAACGTTTAATAATGAATTAGTAATAGCCAATATCACAGTATTAAAACATTATTTGGAAGAGTGAAAAAAATGCCAAATTAAAAATAACTGAATTATTCTTTAAATATATCATTTTTATGTTCAATTTAAAATATACTTGGTTAAAATTATTTGCAAGTAAGTCATAGTTTTTGGGAAAATGCATACATTTGAAAACACATTTTCAAATTCAACGATGCAAATGTTGACATGAAACAAAGTATTATGCTTATAGATGAAGAACATGCCTTTGGGCCATTATTGATAACATACATGACAAGTAGAGAATGGTGTGAATAGTGAAACATCGATAATCTCTCGTCGAAATGTGATGAACATAAAAATGTAATTGCATTTTTTTATCCAATATAATTGGGAGCGGGAGGGCGTTTGCCGAGTGAGAATTGAACAAAAAAAGCTAAAACGAGAATAGGTTAAATGTAAATTTGCAACAGCTGCAAGCGTAGACTTTTATTGCGAACATTTGGTCAATATATATTCTGTTTTTTTTAAATGCCATGTTTTGCCCTTTGCACTTACAATTACATCTGGGCTAAACTTAACATATGTTCATTCAGCGAAAGGACTTTTTTTATTACTGCACAGAGATTTCCTTTATTTTGGGGAGATTCACGGCATTGAGGAGTTGGTGGAAAATAATAAACCTGGGGTTTATATCTTCTGTTCCGTTCAGAATCTGAGACGTTTTATGAGATGGCTTAAGAAGGGAAATATTCCTTAGCTAAGTTCTAAAGTTTTAGCTTTAAACCTCATAAAACGTACCCACACAACATGCAATCAACAAGCACTAAATATATGTCATGCTGAATTTTTAAACGGAAATACAATGTGTATGTTTAAATATTACTTTGTATTCACAGATGGTATTTTCCATTTATATGAAATGAAAAAATATGTTAAAACACGCATTGCTACATTTTGTTATTTGGGCATGTTCAATTATGGACAATATACACTCCAAAAAAATTGCGTTGTTATTCAATTATTTGGAATTAAACATAAAATGCAACGACTGATCTCTCAACATTAACCAATATACTTAATATTACATAACATGTATCTACTTTAAAAGTACAAGGATACAGATGATACAAAACTGAGTAGTGGTTTAAAATTCTTACCATTGAATTTAGTAATTTAGGCTTACTGTATCAGTCCATGCCAGGCTCAATTTATAGGCTTACATATAAGCAGTGTAATTAAGTATGCCTGAGTATATTGATGAGGCAAGAGCATAAAATGACAGCTGCACCAGGAACACATAAAATACCGGACAAAAATAAATCACTAATCGCCTTGAAAATGGGAAATTGCTACACTGTACTTTCGAAGTGAATGTGCGCAAACATTAAGAATACATTCTTGTACTGTCCGACGAGGTCAAAATTGTGACATCGAGAGAAAATGATAGCCGTACCACGTGATAAATTGGTCAGGGCCGAATAAGTGACCATCTTATACGTGATCTAGTACTGTACATCCTTGAAAAACTAATAATTTCCCTGTTTTCTTTCTTTCTGTCAGACAGACTGGGCGAGTACTCTGCTGAGCGTTGAATGGCGGAGTGGGTACTCACCCAGTCGATGATGAGAATCTTCCTCACGTTGAACTTCTGCTGCAACAGCTTTGCCGCGATGGCCACGGAGTTAAAAAAGCAAAAACCCCTGCAGGGAAGCATTACGCATCATCAGCAACGCAGCAGTGACTTAATTACTCGACAAAATAAAATTGATGCGTGCCACGTTAAACCCGAAAAAAATTTAACATGGTGGCTTTGTTCATGGCCATATACGGGTAGCACGTGCAACAGGAATCGGCAAGCTGATCGATGCTAAAATGCGGCATGAGTTCGCATGTGGACACACAAGGATCTTTCTCTCTTGATTTGGGCAAAAAGCTGTTTCCATTTAATCGTGCTCAAAATGGCAAGAAAGTGGCCCAATTGATGCACTCCGTCCTCATCTGTTAAGCATTCCCCGTTGCAAAAGGTCCTCCACTAATGTATTTTGACATCCCCTAATTTAATTGGGTACGATGTCTAATTCTTCCTCATGCCTTTAGTTATGGGTTGAAACCCTGGCATTGAATGTAATCTTTCAATTCCTTTCAAGTTAATCTGAGGCACCCCCCCCCCCCCCCCCACACACACACACGTACAAGTAAAAGCATTGTGTTTGTAAGAAATGTCTTAAAATTAAATCGTAAAAGAAGATGAAGTTTTTATTTCACGTGAAATAATTTACAAAAATGTGAGCTTTCTGTTTTAAATATTGTATAAATGATGTAACTCCCAAAGAATAAAAAATTGTGAATTTGTGTAAGAAAAGTTAAAACTTATTTTATAGCCTTGCTTCCTTTATTTTAATAGGCAACTCAAACCCCAAAATTGGGTCGTTATAAATCTAAAAACTCAGGGCCTTCGTGAAGCGAACACAGCATCCCTCCCCCCTCCCCCACCGCTGCACAATTATTAATATAAAATGCATGTGGAAAATATCATGTTCATTTAATTGCTGGAGTAAAAGGGATGCGATGTAGAGAGAGAAAAAGATCAAAAAATGCCTGCGCAGTGATAAGCATCAATCACCAGTATTGCACCTCTCATTTGCAAATGCTACCTGTATAAATCTCTGCTGCACCGAAACCTGAGCCTGGCCAGAAAGTGTGGCTCTCCTTCACCCTCACTCAGTGAAACCCACTGCTTGTAATACCCCCTCCCCGCCCGCCTGCCTGCCCCCCAGCACTGCGGATGGACCTTGCAGTAAAGTCCCACATGGCAGTGGTGCACGCTCGCAGGTGTGAGGCTGCAGCACGTTGGGATATGTGCGGGGGGTGGGGGGGTGGATTGGTGGTGGGGGGGATAGGGGCTCAGGGGGTAGGAGATGCTAAGACCCCTCCCCTCTCCCCCCCTGTGTGTGTGGCGGGTTCTGTAAACTCACATAGCGGCCGATTCTTCAGCATGGTGACCCGGGGGTCGTACCACGGCAAAGCCGTTCTGCAGGAGGACGGCATTCTCCGGGTTAGACCGTGCACTCTCTCATCTTTGAGATGCCATCATACGCGAGTGTCGCGGTGAATATACCGAAAAAAAATGCACGCCGATTGGGTTCTATAAATACACTCACAGTAACAACCCCTGTTAGGAGGAGGTAAGAGCGGTGCTGGTGTGGTTCGCGTGACGCGCGATGGACCCGGCGACCCGAGTTCAATTGCTGGCTAACCAAGCACTGACCAGCATGGTGAAGTATGGTAAACAAAACAACCCCCACGCAAGACTGTTATGGTGTAGCGAGGCCTTAATCAATTGGTGGATCTATAATTGCTGGCATGTATTTATTTTAACCCTGCTGTAAAAGTGAAAATTACAATCAAAATAGATTTTTGCTTAACACCTACGTGTTACGTGAAAATGAGGTTTTACAAAACTATGGCAACTAGCCATTTAATTCATTAAAAGAAACAGCTTCTCTTCACGGTGTCAAACTAAGTGAAACGTTAATACTGTTAAATAAGAAAACCGTCATTTTCTCTTACGGTCTTTTCCCGAGAACTATTACCCCGGTATGAAACTAGCTATCTGTATATTGGCAGTGCAACGTAAGAATCGGGCAGCACAACTCAAAACTACTCAAATGATTTAAATTTCGATTTAAAGCTTTCGTGACTGCAGGGATCCATCTGCTTGGTTCTTTCGGTAAAGTCACATAGAAGGGAAGTAATAAAATAATAAAAAATAAAACATAATAAAATAAAATAATTCTCACGACGTTTCGGCTACAACGCAAGCAGCCGAAACGTCGTGAGAATTATTTTATTTTATTATGTTTTATTTTTATTATTTTATTACTTCCCTTCTACGTGACTTTACCGAAAGAACCAAGAAGATACTCAAATGATGCAAAGTGTTTTTCTCCACAATAGAACGGCACGATGCGCATTCGACTAGCGTTGACACTGTTTATAGTTTGCCCACGTGTGTGGCCTCAATTCAGAATTTTATTGTTTTGAGAAGACCCAGCGGAAACCGTGGACAGCACGACAAATAGCATGCGGTGAGAATATTTTTTCTACAAGTGCCGTAACGGCCCCTGGGGATGGTGATGGGTGGCAAAAGGCTTGTGTATACATGTGATCGTGTGTGCGTGCGTGTCAGCAGCGAGCGTGTGCACGCGTGCGCGTTTGTGTGTGCGCAGGTGTGAATGTGCGGGTTTTGTGTATGTGAATGGTTGCGTGTGTGTGTTCTTGCGCGAGTTTCGAAGCACACGTAACGGAGGTAATCGTGTCTTGGAAATGTGCACGTAGGTTATGTACTTTTCATACAACGGGACACACATAACCTTGGCCCGTTTTACATCACCCACTGCTGGTTGTAAAAGAGAGTAATATCTGGGCAAAGGCTTGTCCATAAGAGTAGTGCAATTTCCTGTTTCCGTTATAGCATGTAATATATCTGAAACGAAATATCCCACACCTGTGCAACCACACTGATCGTTTTCTCTTTCATTCATACTCTTATCTCCAAATGCTCTCTTTTTTCTGTTAACTTGCTATCTATCAGCATATAAAACTCACGATGCAGATAAGGATTTACATTCATATAATTTCGTGATAAAACGCGATGGCAAGTTCGAAAGTGCTTCGAATGCAATCTCGTCACGGCAAAACAGGGGTAAAGGACAGAGAGGACAGATACAAGCAAAATTTATTACTAAATTAACTAAATTTTTTATTTGACCAGGTAAGGCCCACTGAGCTGTATAGCTCTTTTTTAGAAGCGACCTGGCCACAAATGATAGCTCAACGAAGTGGATAATCAAGTGGAAATTTAAAACAGCTAAATATTCTAAATGCACGTTGATTATAATTGTGGAGAGAAAAACTGGAGGACCCGGAGAAAAAAACACACGACCACGGGGAGAGACATGCAAACTCAAAATATACAGCAGACGTCAGGGTCGGGATCGAACCTACGACCTCCTGCATACTTGGCGAGGTCGTTAACATCTCGCCAGCGTGGCGCCCCTTTAACAGAGCAATGGCAGACGGAGACGAGACTGATGCAACGACAAACTGCGGCCCACAAGCGCACACAGTAGGGGCACAGCCAACGGAGTAGGGTCCCAGCAACCAGAAGTCACCGGGAAGAAGTTTAGCAACGTGACAGGACACAAATGGCCAGGCCAGGCCACTGCCAACCGCCATAGCCACCAACCCCGAACACAACCCACACAACGCTGCACAAACTTAGGGTGCCATGGTGACGAAATCTTAACTTCCTCGCCTGGTATACATAAGGTCGTGGGTTTGTTCCCGACCCTGACCCATGCATATTTGGAGTTTGTGTGTCTCCCTCCCCGTGGTCGTGTGGATTTTTACTCCGGGTCCTCCGGTTTTTTTCCCTCCACATTTAGAACAAACGTTGCGCTCAGAGAATTTGGTCGCAAAAATGTCAATATGATAGGCCACTTCATTGGGCTATCATTTGCGGCAGTGGGCCTTACCTGGTAAAAAAAAAAGTTAAACAGTTATAGTTTAGTTTAACAATGAGGGCCCCTATCTTTCTCGTCTCTCTCTCTCTGCCCCTTTGTCCCTTTGGCTGCATCTCTCTCCAACGTCCCCTGTGCCCCTTCCCGCTCCCTACCTTGAGCTCCCCCGAGGCCACCTTGCATGCGAGTTCGCTCACGCAGCCGGACGCCATCCGTGCGGCGCTGGCTGAATGCAGCTCGTTCCAAACCGTGTCGCTGTCCACCTACACAAACATCGCGCGGCCGATGGATGGTCGGAAAATGAGAAGAGCACAGCACACGACGATGACGGGCCATGGAGGGGGGGGGGGCGCGGGTTGAGCGTGTTTGTGTGCAAGGGGGGTAGAGCGTGCAAAGCTAACAGATAAGTAGGTTGACCTTTACACTGGAAAAATATACAAACGTGCCGGGAACTCACAAGTTGTGGCTACGGGTTTTGGATATTTGTAAAAAATATCACTTTCTCCCCCCTCCCCCCCCCCCTGATTTTCTGATAAACTGTGAAAAAATAATAAATGCGTCTTTATTTTTCTTTCATTCTATAAACTCCAGCGGAATGAAATGATGCATTAGTTTATATTTTCACGTAGTTTTTGCTCGGACTCTTTTTTGTTGTTGTTAAAGAGCCGTCACACGTCATGTCTCCGGCTGTGGTGTATTCTTCAGAGAATGTACATTGCAAGTAGTCCCTGACTGGTGATGCACATAGTAAAAAAAAATTGCAGCATCGACTGCACACGCAAATGTGATGAAGTAACACCATCTCGTTGAAGTAATAATCTCCTGTATGCAAATTCCTTTTGCACACGCACGCGAGCACGTGTGCAAACTCCCACACATGGAACGCCGAGCACAAAGAATTTTGTCCGATCATGCCTCATTAACATAGAGCATGTGGTTTCCTGTCCCAAGGCACCATCAAGTGCAGCTGTACAACCCTGCCATCTAAGATTTACACTGCACAGAGCGTCACCTAACTGTGGACCACGTTTTGAAGCCAGAGTGGTTTTTTTTTAATGCTCCGCACAATCATCATCATCTATCACCATCGTTATTATCACCACCAACACCACTCGTGTTAGTGGCGGTGATGATAGCAACAAATGGCTAAAGATTACCCCGTTAACTCACTAACAAAACCGCTAAATTTAACACGTACGCTTCCATAACCAATATCGTGATTCGTAATTAGATCTTTTTTTTGCAGTCAGGGGAATGAATGTGTGTCGTAAACCCTCTTCCACCCGATGCAGCAAAATAATACATGGTCAATTGAACAAAGCGTGTTGTAGAGCAATCCATAACAATTAACAATTGGGTTACAATATTTCGCTGGTATTTACAACCAGCATGGAATGTTGGGTGGAGGAGGGCTTACGACACACCTTTTACTTATGCGATTTGAACCAACACTAATTTTATTATCTTTGTCAAATATTCTCATCATTATCCCAATGTCAATGACATCTACAGGCCTCTCATATTTTGAAATCAATTTATAAATCATTGTGATCAGTATCAAAGAATAATGGGACTCATTCATTATTCGCTCCACACTATTTCATTCAGAGGATTATTGACTTTTCAATCTAAGAGATTCCCTTTTCCTATCGTTTATATTATGATAAGACTATATCAAAAGTATTCGGGAATGAAAACGGTTGGTAACTATCAAAATATATTTTTACTCTCAGCAATGGAAAACACAAACATTGTGTGTACTTTAATCTATCTTGTTATTATTTATTTATGAGATTTCTGAAGCTTCAACAATTTCATATCAGATCTTAAAAGTAATGGCTATCAATTCCCAGTGCTGAAGTGTGTAATCAGCGTGCTGATATTATTTGGGACAATATATAAATGTAACATATTTGTTTCATATAAAAGGGCATTATGATGAACAGATCATCAAATAGCACATCAGCATTCCACCGATGGCTCCTTCTCCTGAAGTGTTATATTGTTAAACGAGGTAAGAACTCAAGAGAAACTCAAGAAACCAGACGAGCCTAATTTGCCAGAGTGACCTGGGGTAACCATTCAGGATGCCCTGTGAACAATATTTTTCTCCCAGATACCCAATAATTTACATCACAAGTGTCATGTCCAGCATGCGACTCATACGAGGGAAGTGCCCTTCTCCATAATGTAGTATGAGGTTTCCTATAATGCACCTCCGCTTCCCGTGATTGTTCAAAGCATGCAGAGAGCTCACTGCTGTTACAGTACATTTGGCAAAAAAAAAAATAACCCGGTGAATAAAAAGACAACTAAAAGCAGCCCTTCTTATGCACTCGCTTCCTACCATCTCCAGCGGCTCGGCTATCAGATCAAGGCCAGATAAATCAGCCACAGAGAGGTGCTTTGAAGCCAGAGGAGAGGTTCTTTCTAAGCCCTGACGGCCGGTCCAATATTGTTGTCAGATGCGTCTGGGGCAGAGCCAAAGCGATGACATCAGCCCACGCGCTCGATTTTGACCCATGCGGAGAGAGAAACCTCACGCACCATTTACACATCAGTCGAACCGGAAGGAAGGGAAGCCATAGAAGAATTATAACGTTTCCCTTTCTATAACTGTTTGCAGTTATCGCCAGCCTGCTTTGAATTGACATCAAAATCATAGCTAAGCAGCCAACAGGAAGGACCTGATACAAGTTAAATGAAAACTATGTGGGCCAAAAAATATATATAGCAATAATAAATAGTCAACATGGGCAAATTCGGAAGCAAATCACATTCGTACAGTGTACAATACGACGTATAAATGAGCTGTGATCAAAATGTTCTAAAGACAAGCTTGAAGACTCATCTTTACGTAATAAATCACAACACAAGAATTTTATCAAAGGGAGAAGTGTCAATAACGAAAATTAAAGTAACAAGTATGCATGCATATAGTGAATATATTATTTTAGATCTAACATAAGTTTCCTTACACAGTGTATATATTTAACATTCTGAATATTTGTTATTGTTGTGCCACCAGATGGTATGTATGTCATCTGTTAGTTACTCTGGCAAACTTCATATTTTAAAAACAACTAATGCCAATCCAAAAAATAATAAAGATAGAAAGCCTGTTCTCCATTTAAAACCACATTTATTTTTTGTTCCATTGCCTATGTGTCTTCATCACTAATTTTGTTGAAACAGCAAACACTGAATTTCTGTCAAATGCGTTTTCAGATTTTTGGGACTGCATTTCAATTCCTGAAGATGCTCCCAGCACATGCTTGAACATTATGCTGAACAACACATGGTGCAAACCCGACAACACATCGGTTAAGCCACGGGGTCGGCAAACTTTGGCTACGGAGCTTCATGCGGCTCTTAAAGGAACTGCTTTGTGACCTTATTTATCAAGGAGCCACCGTCTCGTATTCACCACATGCATTGTGGCCCTTGAATTATTGAGGGTTGGGATTTTTTTTGTACCCAATTCGAAAAAATTGCTCTTCTTTTTATTTTGGTTGCCGACCCCTAGGTTAAGCCACACAGCAAAAAACGCTCAAACCTACACAGCAATATGCTGTGAACTGGTTTCAGCTTTATTGATTTCATCAGCAGAGTGCAGCATTGTCAAACAACCACTGCTGCGTTGGTAGATGTTATCAAAGCGCATACTGAGTTTTACACAGTTCTGATGATGTGTGCTTGTATGTTGGACTTCTTTCGCACCATACGTAGCCAACCGTGCTAATTGGAAGTGCAATCGTGAAGTTGGAGTGTTCTTTCATATGCATTTACAGAATAACATCTAGTGACCCACGGCGGTTGTTCAACAGTCCTGATTGCTGAGGAGACTCTTACAGTCATGAACCTTTCTAGAGTTTGCTGCTAGGAAAAAAATTGGCCCAAACAATGCTCTGGTCTCACGTTGGTGTCACCGTTTCAACAGAAGTCATTCAATGAACGTCTACGGGCCCGAGTACAGAGTACAACTGTCTTGACAATGTACCCGATCGCAGGGGGCTTGCACAGACAGGAACAAGGATCGTGCACCAACTAAAAAAAGTACTACACAAGAATGCATTAAAAGCAACACACTGAGATATTACATTATCTTTAAAACGGTCACATGATTCACGTGCATTGATTGTCGTTCATAACAATTGAAGTTTTGCATGTGGAATGTTTTCAGAAAAATAAATATATTTTTAATGTATTCACCTTCCTTTAGAGATGTATAATAAGGTACACGTATACACCCATTTAGAAATGTTGCAACGATTTATTTTGCACTATAGGCGGCTGGTGCTTCCTTTGAAGTTTAGTTAATGGATTGCAGCGATCAAGATGCATGATGTCTAGAATGCTCCGTTGTAAGTTTTCTGTTTTAGTCAAGGAAGTGCTGCCGTAAATTCATTGATGTCCAAAACCAAAGATATATTTTTTACAAAAATCTGAACAGAACACATGGAGCTATATTTCATCTGGAACGAGTAAAAGTCAAGAAAAGATGCCTAAGATTATATTGCATCGTTCTACTTTTATATAAACTGTATGTATAAAACTGTATTGAGTTTAAAATCTGATAGAGCACATAGTTGCCTTAGATTCAAATGCCAATAGCCTTACTGCCACAGAAAAACGGGTTCAATGTTAAGTCCGTAAAACCTGCTCCATGCAACTTTTTTTTATTGTCATCTAAAATCATCTCTCAATATCAAGAGCATACCCCCAAATTGTCCAACATCTACACACCCACATTGTCCTGAGCAATAAAGCAACCTCTGATAAATGAAAACCCCAAAAGGACACAAAGCCAAAACCTATTTTGGCTACTATAAAAAAGAGTACCTATATTAAAGGTATGAAAGCAAAAAAATATCATGAATGACATGTTTGGGAAGGATATCAGCAGCCCGTGGGGGCTCTAAGGTTTCACCGTGGTGTTGGATTAAATCATTCCCAATGGAGTGCCCGCACAGCAGTACACATTCATCACGGCTCTTGTCAAGAATGTGTTTTTAACAAACTAATTAAAATACAAAAAGCCCAGGCCTGTAAAAACAAAAAGGAAATAACAGGCTAGGCAGTCGTCGAGCGTTTTTTTGTATCAAGTGTTGTTGAAATCGTTGCATAAATCCGCATGAAAGCAAGGCCGCACATTGACCTTGCAAAATACACATCCAGAACATTGATGACTGCAACGTTGCCCTGTTTTGAAACCAAAGTGTGGAGCGAATACTGGCAGAACCCGCGCAATAATGCCGGGAAGCTCTCGACACTATTTTCTAAAGCTCGTGTAATGATCAAAACACATGTGGCCTATGCCTAGGGACCACAGCGGAGTTTTAATGAAAACAAAACTGGAGTCGAGGGGGGAAATGCCGGTCCCACACGAAGTGCTCTCTCTCTTCGCCCAAGTAACGGAGTGAGCGACAACCCGATTAATCCGCGTAGGGTACCATCACCGACTCGCGTTCCTCGTGCGAATGCGGGCAGACTTACCCCGAGGCCGCCACAAGGGAGCAGTCCAAACATCTTCTGGGATAGGGAGCCTGAAAGAGATGAACGGGTTGTCATAGTAACTCGACCGGCCACCGTTTTATTTTTTGATGCCGCTATTGAAATCGTTCATTCAATTTGTCGCGTAAGCTGATATCGCTCTGCTTAACACGTACCCCATAATTTAGTTAGCGTAGCCCCTGACAGATGTGAATGTTTACGTGTTTCTTTCTCGAAGTCACAATGACCTCTTTTGTTTTGGTCGTAAAATATATATTGAGATGGCATAGAGCCAGGTAAGTAAATTGTGTTAGCTCAGGTTTATGAAGATTTCTATAGGATTGCTTTGTCGCCGATAATATCAATATTTATTTTCCTTTTATACAGGTATAATAATGCAAATGTTATACACTTAGTCACAGGTATGATACGGTCTTTGCATCAGCACAGCCGCAATGTCAATTGTGCTGTTACATGGAAGGCGCATGCAACACAATTGTACGGCAATTCATCTTCTTGGTTCTTTCGGTAAAGTCACGTAGAAGGGAAGTAATAAAATAATAAAAATAAAACATAATAAAACAATTCTCACGACGTTTCGGCTACAACGCAAGCAGCCGTCTTCAGGTGAAGAATGAGACAATGCCAAGCTAGGAGCTTATATATAAGCTGCGTTGGAGGTGGAGGAAAGAGCGCCTTAACAAAAGAATGTGCATGTGAAGAGGAATTTAGCATATTCATGGAAAATGCGTAGGAGGTGGGCGGGGGGGTTTCAAAGTCATATTATGCCCATGCATTATGCAGGATCAACAGCACCAAGGGGGGGGGTGCAGGGATTAGCAGTAACAAAGGAAAGGAATGTTAATGATATGTAGCTGCAGTTACTCAACCACCACGTAGAAAACTAAAGTATAAACTACATAAAAAACTAAAGTATAAATAGCATAGCACCATCAGTATACTTACTATACTCTACACTAAGCTGAGTTACTAACAGCAAGTAATACATTACAATTCTACGTCGTAAAAATTATATAATATGCTTCCATCTAAACTTTATTCTATTGCATCAACGAGCATATACCGTACTATATACTGCCAACATTAAATTATATACTGTATTGCTGTAAACCAACCTATATCTTATACATTTAATATAACACTATGTATTATTCTACCCACCCTAATGTGTGTCGAAATGGTTTATTACGTCCTTCCAATGATTGCTAAGCCAGAATCCATCTTCTCGGTTAAAATTGTCTCTGTGTTTGTATATGTGGATCGCCTCATGAACGAATCTCTCATGATAGCCAGATGGCTTGCAGAGAACCTCTGTCTTGGAGAAGTCAATGTCATGTGAGCCCACTGAATTGTAACAGTGATCTGCCACGGCTGAGGTGTTTGTCCTACCGTGTTTCAGGTCTGCCTTATGTTCACGGATGCGGTCCGAGACATGTCGTTTGGTTTCCCCAATGTAACTGCTACCACAGAGGCAACTTAGTTTGTAGACGCCAGGGTACTGTATGTCTGGAACCACATCTTTTACAGACGGGACCAGATCACGGATTTTATGTACTGTGTTGAATCGGACCTGGATCTTGTGTTTAATCAGGATTTTGGAGATCTTTTTTGTGACCCCAGCAATGTAGGGTAAGGTGATGGTCTTGAAAGGCTCCTCAACAGGATCCTTCTTGATGGTTGGAGTGATGGCTCTGCGGATTGTGTAGTCGGAGTAACCATTAGCCTTAAGAGCTTGGCGTACGTGTTTGAGTTCACTGGAAATGTGTTCATGGTCGGAGATGCATTGGGCTCTATGATATAGAGTCTTGATGAGGGAATTCTTCTGGGATGGATGGTGGTGGGAATCCGGTTTTAGATAAGCATCCGTGTGGGTGGCTTTCCTGTAGACAGAGTGGCTCATTGAACCATCAGGTCTCCTTTTGATTAGGACATCCAAAAAGAGTAGCTTGCCATCATTTTCGACTTCCATGGTGAATCTGATGGCTGGGTGTATGGAATTGATGTGGTCGAGAAATTGGTCTAGAGCAGGCCGGCCATGTGGCCAGATGACAAAAGTGTCGTCTACGTACCTCTTCCATAAGGTCGGGCGTAGAGTGGCAGTCTGGATGGCGTCCGTCTCAAATTTCTCCATGAAGATGTTGGCTACAACCGGAGATAGGGGGGAGCCCATTGGGGTGCCCTCAATTTGCTTGTAGAAGGTTCCATTCCAGGTGAAGTATGTATTGGTTAAGCAGTGTCTCACCAGGGGGGGTACCCCAGCATTCAGTCCTTGATGAACCAAGTCTTCAATGATTGCGATGGTGTCAGGCACAGGCACCTTGGTGAACAAGGAAACCACATCAAAACTGACAAGCAGGTCGTCTGGGGACAGGGCAATCCCCTTGATTGTCGATACCAGGTCAGTAGAGTTTAGTACTGCAGAGGTGGTTTTTCCAGTGAAAGGCCGTAGGATTTCGGACAAAAAACGAGCCAGTTTGTAAGTGGGGGAGTTGATAGTAGAGACAATGGGACGAAGAGGTGTATCTTCTTTATGTATCTTTGGCAAGCCGTACAATCTTGGTGGCCTGGCTGCAGAAGGTTTCAACGAGAACTGTTTGGTCTGATCAATTAATGCGGTTGAAGCAGAAATGATGTTGTTGGTTTTGGAGACGAGGCTGTTGGTGGGGTCTCTTTTTATTTGGGCTCCCCCCTATCTCCGGTTGTAGCCAACATCTTCATGGAGAAATTTGAGACGGACGCCATCCAGACTGCCACTCTACGCCCGACCTTATGGAAGAGGTACGTAGACGACACTTTTGTCATCTGGCCACATGGCCGGCCTGCTCTAGACCAATTTCTCGACCACATCAATTCCATACACCCAGCCATCAGATTCACCATGGAAGTCGAAAATGATGGCAAGCTACCCTTTTTGGATGTCCTAATCAAAAGGAGACCTGATGGTTCAATGAGCCACTCTGTCTACAGGAAAGCCACCCACACGGATGCTTATCTAAAACCGGATTCCCACCACCATCCATCCCAGAAGAATTCCCTCATCAAGACTCTATATCATAGAGCCCAATGCATCTCCGACCATGAACACATTTCCAGTGAACTCAAACACGTACGCCAAGCTCTTAAGGCTAATGGTTACTCCGACTACACAATCCGCAGAGCCATCACTCCAACCATCAAGAAGGATCCTGTTGAGGAGCCTTTCAAGACCATCACCTTACCCTACATTGCTGGGGTCACAAAAAAGATCTCCAAAATCCTGATTAAACACAAGATCCAGGTCCGATTCAACACAGTACATAAAATCCGTGATCTGGTCCCGTCTGTAAAAGATGTGGTTCCAGACATACAGTACCCTGGCGTCTACAAACTAAGTTGCCTCTGTGGTAGCAGTTACATTGGGGAAACCAAACGACATGTCTCGGACCGCATCCGTGAACATAAGGCAGACCTGAAACACGGTAGGACAAACACCTCAGCCGTGGCAGATCACTGTTACAATTCAGTGGGCTCACATGACATTGACTTCTCCAAGACAGAGGTTCTCTGCAAGCCATCTGGCTATCATGAGAGATTCGTTCATGAGGCGATCCACATATACAAACACAGAGACAATTTTAACCGAGAAGATGGATTCTGGCTTAGCAATCATTGGAAGGACGTAATAAACCATTTCGACACACATTAGGGTGGGTAGAATAATACATAGTGTTATATTAAATGTATAAGATATAGGTTGGTTTACAGCAATACAGTATATAATTTAATGTTGGCAGTATATAGTACGGTATATGCTCGTTGATGCAATAGAATAAAGTTTAGATGGAAGCATATTATATAATTTTTACGACGTAGAATTGTAATGTATTACTTGCTGTTAGTAACTCAGCTTAGTGTAGAGTATAGTAAGTATACTGATGGTGCTATGCTATTTATACTTTAGTTTTTTATGTAGTTTATACTTTAGTTTTCTACGTGGTGGTTGAGTAACTGCAGCTACATATCATTAACATTCCTTTCCTTTGTTACTGCTAATCCCTGCACCCCCCCCCTTGGTGCTGTTGATCCTGCATAATGCATGGGCATAATATGACTTTGAAACCCCCCCGCCCACCTCCTACGCATTTTCCATGAATATGCTAAATTCCTCTTCACATGCACATTCTTTTGTTAAGGCGCTCTTTCCTCCACCTCCAACGCAGCTTATATATAAGCTCCTAGCTTGGCATTGTCTCATTCTTCACCTGAAGACGGCTGCTTGCGTTGTAGCCGAAACGTCGTGAGAATTGTTTTATTATGTTTTATTTTTATTATTTTATTACTTCCCTTCTACGTGACTTTACCGAAAGAACCAAGAAGATGAATCCCTGCAGTCACGAAAGCTTTAAATCGAAATTTAACCGCCTCTACGGGGAGGGTTTCCACATAACTTTGAGATCCTTCAACAAGCTCCGGGATAAGAAGGCTCAGCTAATCGAGTCTCTCACCTTTCTGAAGAGATGCCGCGACTCTAAGGTAATACCAAACGCATTTACACTAACATCTGCTGCTGTAACTTCTTCTAATGCGAAACGAATTCTGTCTAGAACTAGTTTAGCCCTTATCTCAGAGAAAATCAGACTTACGCGCACCGAACTAGATCAGTTAGACAAGACACTCTACAAATCACACTTATCTTTGAGTGTAACAATGTCCACATCGGATTGGGAACATGTGGAAAAAATGACTGCCTCTTCAGCTGCCGCTATGTCGACTAAATGTAAGGACAACTTGATTTCCAAATTCAACCGCCTCTCAAACAAGAAACCGGACCCACACATTGAAAAGCTAGATGTTAACAAAGTCGTAATTAATCGCAGTAACAGTCCTATTTCTGAAGGTTTGAAATCCGTTTTAGCTAAAGGACTAAACTTTGCAGTCACACCTAGACACATACCAGTTAATGATATAATTGCTCGAGTAGATGTAGCTCTCAAGGGCTTGAGTCACATCGCTGCAGACGTAGCAAGATCTGAAATCTCTGTAACCCTCAAAA